GAGAGAGAGAGGGGGAGAGAGAGGGAGGGGGAGAGAGAGGGGGAGAGGGTGGGAGAGGGAGAAAGGGAGTGGCTCCAGGTCAGCCTTGATATGAATGGTCATTCTTTTGCAGTGTCTCAGATGCCTCATTATGTATTATCAGTACCAAGTTTTGCCCCTCCCCCACCAGAACTCATTAAAGGAAGCTAAGGCCTCGTTTAACTGAGTTTAACTTTGGCGCTTCTTAACTTAGGAGCTTCTTCTAAATGAAGTGTAGACACACCCAAGTGGCAACATCTGCTGCTGAGTGATGTCCTGCAGCCCGCTGTCTGTATCTGAATGTCACACTATTCTCTAGGTATGGCGGGTTTTCCCTGGGTGCCAGTCATTCTCAGGCGCTTCCTCCGAGTGAAGAAGTTAATGATGCCATCAGGCAAGTGAAGAAACACTTGAAGGTGCCCAAGGTACAGTATCCCTTCCCAGACGTGTCAGAAAGATGGGCCCCAGAGCAGCTGCTTTCTGAGGGTAGTTGGTGGGCACATCTGATCATCTCGCAGCATTTTGTAATAGAAGACTATCATTGACCTTTAGTGATCTTGCCCCAGCTCGAGGTACTCAACTTGTGTTTAGAAGCCTGCAAGTCTAGATTATAAACAAATTCTGAGATTTAAAGGCCCCAGGTGACTCAGTTAATAAATCCTTTCAGTGGGTAAATGTACTTGGCTTCAAACATCCTTTCCTGAAACATCCCTGGCTTACCAGGACGTGGATCATTTTCAAGTTGGGAGGCTGGTCTTCAAGATCTAATGCATAATACTCCACTTTTCTTCAACTCAGATTTCTTGGTTTTTAAGTGAGAATAAAGGGAGTCAGCTGACATGGAGTCTAGGATCCTGGCCAGTGGCGATGCTCTGGAGTGTGTGTCTCTGCTTTTGGACAGTGTACCCCATGTGTCTGGCACGTTTAGTCTGTCAGATCTTGTCACAGTATCCAGGAGCCATTTTGAAGAATCTTCACTACCCACTTACAAGTGGACACTTGAACCTGGACTCTTAGATTCACTGAGTTTCCTTACGGCATTGTAATATCAGAGGTTTAGCTATCTACCAGACACCAGGAACCAATTAGCCAATGACTTTAAGTTGAACTTGAACAAATTAGTTCATGCTTCTTTTCACATAGTTGGCCATTTCCACCAGATGCTAATCTTTATTATTATTGTTACTATTATTATTAATTTTAATGAAAATTTACAGAGACTTTGAATTTCCATTCATTCACTGTTGCACTTTTCTCCCCTCCCAACCCTCTCCCACCCAGTTCATTTTTCTCTTTGAAAAGTAAAAAAAAAATTTTTCATTGTTATACAGTCCCTCCCCCCAAGTCCACTCCACTTGCGCCTTTGTTCTGGCCTCCTGTCATGACAATAATACCTAATCATATATCCCTTTTAAACAGCTCTCTCCTTCACCAGATGCTAATCTTAATGTTGCCTCTTGCCTGTGAACCAATACCACTGAAATCAGATTTCTTTTGTTCATAGGATAGTTCAGCCGATCGATTTCTCAGCAGCTTGGGAAGGTTCATGACTGGACTGAACACTAAAAACAATGTCAAGGTAAAGACTTGTCTGTGTTCTCAGCTCATGATAAAGTTGAAAGGGACTCTTCAATGACCAGAAAGCGCATACTTGTAACTTCACCAAAGTGACAGTGTTGTGTGGTGGTTAAGAGAATTTGCTTTGCCACCAGAAAAAATGAAAAATAGTGACCTTGACCACATTAATTAATGTATCCAAGCCTCAATTTCCTTACCTATAAAGTCAGCTTTTTGAGTTGAGAACTAAAAGTGCTAAAGATTTAAAGTACTCAGCCTTCTGTTTGCCCTCTAAATCTGGTCAGTGCTCAGTTGTCCTGGCTGCTAGGATTACTTTAATATGTATAATATTTTGGCTTGATGTTGTGACTGGATTTCCTCCCAGTTCGTGCATGTACTTTGTGTATATCCTCAGTGAGCAGGGCTTGGGGTGGTGGAGCTTGGGGAGCTGTTACTTAGGGAGCCTCTGGTGGCCTAGTGATAAGGAGTTATGCTGCCAACCTAAGGGCATATGGTTCAAATCTACCGACTGCTCCATGGGGGATTTACAAGCTCTGAAAACCCACTGGAGGTTCAGCTGTGAGTCGCTTCTGACTCGACCGTATGTAACAACTTGGTTGTTGTTGTTGTTATGTGCCATCGAGTCGCTTGCAACTCATAACGACCCTATGTACAACATTCCTTAACTCTGCTCTGTCCTGTGCCAATTGCACCGTCTCTGACACACCCATCCCGATTACCCCAGTCACTGAATTAATCCACCTCATAGGGGGCCTTCCCCTCCGGCACTGTCCCTCCACCCTACCAAGCATGATGTCCCTCTCCAAGGACCAGTCTCTCCTTACAACATGTCCAAAGTATGTTAGATGGAGCCTCAGAATCCTTGCCTCCAAGGAGCCGCCTGGTTTGACCCTTTCCAGGATGAATCTGTTTTCCTAGCAGTCCATGGTATCCTCAATACTCTTCTCCAGCACCATAGCTCAAAGGCATCAATTCTCCTTCTATCCTCCCTAGTCATTGTCCAACTCTCTGATGCATAACAAGTGATTGCAAAAACCATGGCCTGTGGTCCTTTTTATTTCAGGTATGGTTTAACAATAAAGGCTGGCATGCCATCAGCGCTTTTCTGAATGTCATCAACAATGCTATTCTCCGGGCCAACCTGCAGAAAGGCGAGAACCCGAGCAAGTATGGGATTACTGCTTTCAATCACCCTCTCAATCTCACCAAGCAGCAGCTTTCAGAAGTGGCTCTGTAAGTGTGACCCTGTCTGAATGGATGGGGTGGAAGAGGGGACGAAAGAGTGTGGGAGAGTCATGCAGCAGAGGGAGGAAGGGTACAGCTGGCGGTGGCAAAACAGCCGGGAGAATGTTACATGCCTTTTAGTTGATCCAGGCTCTTGGCAGAAAATGATCAGATCACGGCTTGACTGACGGGGTTTTGTAAACTGAGGATGAAAAAAAATACTAATTTATAAAGATCATTGCACTTAATAATTTCCAGAAAGAGTCATTGCAAATATTGTTCATAAAACTCTAAAATAATTTTAATTCCTCACCAATATAAGTGTTTAATAAAAATCTATTTTCTCTACTTTGAAATCACTATTTTACACTTGATGAAATGTGTTTTATTATATAATATTTTGGATCCTTGGATTTACCTTTTTTTCTTATCTTTTTGGATAAGTCTTCTAAACTATTTGCCAGATATCAAGCTAGTATGATTTTAGTGTAAAGGGTACAGCTTGTGAAAGCATGGTGATCTGGGTTTGAATCTGATCTGTCAGATCTAGAGTATGATATTAAATGCAATACTTCATGTACATTGCCAAGTTCATTACCCAGGATGGAGTTGACATGAATTTCATACACATGACGCTGTTTTTCTGTACAGATAGTAGGCCACAATTAGCATTTCTACTTGTATTGCATTCCATTAGAGTCAGTAGGAATTTTATACCAAGACTATTTAAGGGACCACCAAGATTGTTGTTGTGATAAGAATCTGTTAGAAGTTAATTTTATCTGTTAATTTAATCTGCTATACAGTGTATTTTACAGCTGGAAAAAGTGAATTTATTTAGTAGTTTCACCCAGATCTTCCTGTTCTTAATTTTTTATTTTATTGTTTTTTCCACATGACATAGAGGTTTTTATTGGGCCCCAAGGCCCTGGGCCAGGTGGGCCAGGAGCCGCCTCTGCTGGGGTGGGGGGAAGCCTGCTTTCTGCAGAAAACAAAGTCCTCCATGGAGGGACAGCAGACAATGCAGCCCCAGTGGTGTACATGAGGATGGGGTGCCCGGCCGCTCTGTTGGGGTGTCACAGGGCACCGCACGTCCTCTAGTTCTTCAGCTGTGGGGTGCCCGGCCCATCTGTGGGGGCAGGGAAGATGTCCTCAGCCGTGGGGCATCTGCCACACTATCCCTCTAGGTGTGAAACCATGCATCCTGCTGCTCTTAGAAGGACAAGAGCAGGAGATGCTGGAGGACCAAGGGGATTGCCCTTCCACTACTCTCAGACCTCTTTTCAGTAGCTGCATCTGGTGGTCGATTTCTTTATTTATTTATTTATTAATTATTTTTGTGTGAGTGTACCGTCAAATCAGATCTGACTGGTACAGGAGGAGATTGTCCCTCCTTCCCCGGCAGAGCATCTGGTGGATTCGAACCGTGTGCCTCTGGGATTGTAGTTGCAGCTCCTTACCACTAGGCCACCAGAGCTCCCCCGATTTCTTTATTTTTAACCTCTGTGAAATCAGTTTTGTATTTCAGTTTTCCAATTGAAATCATATTTCATATTCAACTGTGTTTTGTTTTCATGTGAAAGTGGTCGTCTTTCAAATTTTTGGATAAAATAAATTTTATAAACAGATCTTCCCCCTCCCCATGCTGTGCTTTGTCTTTGTGTGTGTCTCTGTGTGTCCTTTTTTAGTTCCAGTTTGCACCTGCGGCTCTTTAGGTCCTCACTGCCTCATTGCCCTTGGTTTACAGGATGACCACGTCGGTGGATGTTCTGGTCTCCATCTGTGTCATCTTTGCCATGTCCTTCGTCCCAGCGAGCTTCGTCGTGTTCCTGATCCAGGAGCGGGTCAGCAAAGCGAAGCACTTGCAGTTCATCAGCGGCGTGAGGCCGGTCATCTACTGGCTTTCTAATTTTGTCTGGGATATGGTAAGGGTGCAGATCGAGCTCTTCTTTAGAAATCTCCAGCAGGGCCCTAGCTCAGCGTGTATGAGGAAGCCAGAGACTCTTGCTTTTCCAGGGAGTGCTCAGGCTCTTTTAGAGATAGATAAAAAAAGGAAAAGGCAGAGTCACTTGCACACTTTGATGACAGCAAACCCAGAATTGAGTATGGGACAGGTCTCACAACAGGGAGAAAATGTGTCCACACTATCATAACTGTCATTATTACTACTACCACCCAATTTCCTAACTGAACACCTCAAAGAAACGGAAAGATAAAAGGACCTTGGTCAGAAGTCCAAGTCAATGCATGCCTCCAACTTCTCTACTAGGTTTTTACCTCTGGAGTCAGGGTGTTCTTTCCCTCATTGGGAAACCCATCTACCATTGTCCATCCATTGTAAACGAGTTTATTATACCAGCTGTATATAATATGTTGACCTTATTTGGACCATTATGCCAAATTTAAAGTGTTCTGAAATTCTAATTATGGTAAAATGGGGCTGGGAAAAAAGTCTCCCTGGGACCTTCATCAGTTGGAAGCCACACGGAGAAAACTTACTTCTTTTCCCACTGGGTCATCCCTTAGATATTTAGAGATATTATTATATAACCCAGTTTCCCCAGATAAGGTTATATATTAAACACACTATAATCTCTGAAGCCCTGCTCAGACATGAATGATGATGATACAGGATGTGATGTGTCTGTGATGATTAAACCAAGCCTCTCAGACTTGTCACTGTTCTGATAGGATTGCCTTTCTATAGCCTGGCTCCATATTGTTACTGTCCCTTTGAAAGCAAAGCCTGGAATGGACCTTGTGTTCAGTGTACGGTCTGAATGATTACGAGTCTCCAGGGAGTTGATGTATCGTCCATGCTTTCACTACTTCAGTCCAAGGCTAATACGTTTAGGAAGTAGCAGTATCGTAATGGTAACTTGATAGTGAACTGAAACTTCATTTCATATAAATGCTTGTTGAATAAAATTGTTCTCATTCTATACTAAGGTCAATAAATTGATAGACTTTTTAAATTCTAAACTTTATATTAACTGCATCTTGCTTGTTTACCATTCACTTGTTAAATTCTTTTTCACCTCAACCCAGTAGTTAATTCATTCATCAAACCTATACTGAGTGCTTAATATATATCTGCTCTACATGCCTAGGGGATTCAGAAAATAAAATAAAAAGCCTAGTTGTTAAATTAAAAAACATTACCTATAGCCCTGGTGTGTCCACTTGCTGTACAGTGGTAACTTGTGGTGCTGTGAGGCTGAACACTGTGACACTGATGTGTCAAATGAGTTAATGGCTGGTTACCCAGTGCGGACAGTGTTGGGTGTAGTTTCCCGATTAAAATAAGCTTGGAAGTGGAGTGGCATCCACTTCCGTAATAGCTTGCCTCCAGAAACCCTATGAACCTGGAGAAAGGATGAAAGACACCAAGCATTGAGGACTCTCCTTCATAAGGTCACTATGAGTCGCCTGCAACTTGACGGCACTTAACAACAACATCCACCTGTGTATGATCTATCCCTCCCTGCATTAGAGTCTCTGGAAATTGCTAGAAGTGTGTCTTCATCTAAGTTGTTGATAAACACATTGAGTAAGAGGGGGCAGGGCAGAGCTCTATGGTTTAATGCTGCAGTCGTTCTAACTGCCAGAAAACCCACTCATCACCTCTCTACCCATGCTTTTCTCTGTGAGCTATGAATTCTCCTAATTGTCCTGTGGTCAGGTCTTTATTTCTGCATTTTAAGGTGTGATACACTGTCAGGACAGACTTTAAACTTATTCCCAGTGTGATGAAACAATTCTGACATTCATGTTACGAGCCCTTGTCTCATAAATAGATTACATGTGAGATTGAACTTGGGCAGACTATAATATAGCATTAATGATGAAACAGACACAATCATCTTCTGCAAGAATAATGGAATCTTATTTGCTGCCTGTGAAACTGAAATTACTCTGACTGGGAATCCATCGTTCAGTAAGTTTACTGAGCGTGACACCTTGGCTTAGTTGCCGGAAAGACAGAAAGGGCATGCAGTTTATAAAATCAGTCAAGGGGAAAATGCTTGTCGAAGTACATTGTCTGGTATTTTGATTAATAGTTTATGTGGCTTCATTAATTCAGAGTTACTCTTTAATATGTTTATCTGCCCTTTCTTGTCCTTACAGGTAAAGGCTTGTGATGTGCTGTGTATTTGACGCTGGGGTGAACTTTATTTTTTGTTTTTACTTTCAGTGCAACTATGTGGTCCCTGCCACGCTGGTCATTATCATCTTCATCTGCTTCCAGCAGAAGTCCTATGTGTCCTCCACCAACCTGCCTGTGCTGGCACTGCTCCTGCTGCTCTATGGGTAAGGCACCTTGGTCTGAAGGATCTCGGGAGAGAAGGCAAAGGATGCCCCTGACACTCGGTCACCACTTCCCTTTGTGCCTCATCCCCAGGTGGTCAATCACACCCCTCATGTACCCAGCCTCCTTCGTGTTCAAGATCCCCAGCACAGCCTACGTGGTCCTCACCAGCGTGAACCTCTTCATCGGGATCAATGGCAGCGTGGCCACATTCGTGCTGGAGCTCTTCACCAGCAATGTGAGTTGTGCACAGAGAGTGACTTGTCTTTGGAGTGGGCATCTTGGAGATCCAGAGGACAGTGTTTAATCCTGATTTCATTCAGCTTGTTGTAACACTGGTACCACTGACCATTCTGTAATTTTTCTCCCCCAAATTTTCCCTGTCTTTGTTTCCTTGCAAAGCTCTCTCTTGCTTTGCCTTCTGTTTCTCTGCTCTTCTGTTTCCTTTGATAGCTTCTTTTATTCTTCTCCTTATGTGATAGTTGTCCAAAGATTTGGCCTTCACCTTCAGACACTATCGCTAGGTGATGTCATTAATTTCTAAGATTCTTAACACTCCCCCTTGATTTTGTGCCTTTCTCTTCTGTGCCTTTTGACCAGCTCTTCTCCTTGAATTCTGTTCGCACAGTCTTACCTGCTTATTGGATGGCTCCGGTATAAGTGTTTTCTAGATGCCACAAGCTAACTATATTTTTTTCAGAGTTCTCCTCAGAGCCCAATATTTCCTTTGTCATCTTTGCCTCACCAGAAGGCATTGTTGTCCACTCAGTTGTTCAACCCTGAAACCTTAGTGTAAACCTACATGCCTGTCTTTTTCTATTTTGGGTTCAGTTGATGTTGTCGTTTAAACTCAGCGTGTGTGTGTGTGTCGACGTGGCTTGAAATGTGCTGCTTCTAATTCAGTGTCTGGCGATGTTTCACTCTCCCGTCATGGTTTGGTGCAGATGGTGCCCTGTGAGAGGTGCTCTCTCATTTCCTCTGTTCTTCAGTGCAACACACCCCATTATATACTCATTTCCTATTTCCTGTTTCCATCTCTCTTCCTCAGAGTGGAGACTGTTTTGTATTAACCTTTGGTTCTCTTGTGACCTAACATAGCATCTAGCTCACTCGAATTTTGAATATATGGTCCTAAGGTGGTGAAATATTTCATGTCCTTAGCAAATTACCAAAAGACTGGAGGCTTTAGTTCACCCAGAAGCTCCTCCTCCTGCCCCCTACCAAAAATGGCCTGGTGATCTACTTCTGAAAAATGAGCCTTTGAAAACCTTACCAAGCACAGTTCTGCACTGCCACACATGGGTTATCGGAGACAGAATCGATCCAGTGACAATTGATGGTGGTAGTGTCTAGCTTATTGGGGTGAATAAGTTGTTAAGTATTAAAAAAATTTATAAAACAGAGTCTGGAAACTCAACTATTGATTCAGATGTAAACAATATGCTTTTAAAATGCTAAACAGTCATTTTCTTTTTATAGATCTGATGCTGATTGAACATAGCCTTATGTTTCTAAAATTAGTCCAATTCCTTTACCCACTCAGCATTGCTTCAGGTTTTTGAAAGAGCAGATTTCTAAAATGTTCTATATCATCAGCCGTGGCTGCTGAAAGTTACCGATGTCCAGATACAAAGGTCCAGTTTGTCACCAGCGATTGGAAGTTTTCCTTGGTTCCTATTTCCCAGGTCTTGATAGATTTGGTAACTTTTTTTAGCCTCAAACACAAATGACATTCAGTCTCTCTTGCCCCCTCTCTTTTTTTTTTAGAAGCTGAATAACATCAATGATATCCTGAAGTCTGTGTTCTTGATCTTTCCACATTTTTGCCTGGGACGAGGGCTCATTGACATGGTGAAGAACCAGGCAATGGCCGATGCCCTGGAAAGGTTTGGTGAGTGGCAGCAGGGGCTGTGGGGAACCTTAACAGCAATGGCAATTTATATGGTCCTCGGTTCTGTGCTCTTAGATCTGAAGGGACTGGGCTTGTCAAGATGGTGTCTTGTAACAAAGCCATTTGTGTCTTGTGTTTCATAGCACCAAGGGAAGTGAGAGGATAGTTTCAGAGGTGATAAAACCTGGTTTTAGATTGGCTCCCAGACTACAGAGTGTCAGTCATTAGAAAAGCCAAGCCATGATTTGGAAATCAGATATGGAACAGGGAACCACAAGAAAAGATGCAGACTTCTCTTTGGCAAATAAAGAACTTGAAAATTTGCCCACAAAGAACTTGAAAATTTGCCCACAAATCTTTTGTGTAATCTAGAAAAAGCTAATTTACTGTCCCCCTTTGTACCTTTAGAGTTAAAAAATATTTCTCCTGTTGCCTCATTACTAATATTCACCCACGGGCTGATACAGGCATGTGGGATACGTAATTTCATAGAAGAGGGAATCCCTTCACCTCTCCCAACTTGAGGGGAACAGAGGAGAGTTATAAGGATTTTAAGGAATATTTACAAAATAACTAGGTGGCTTATTGAACCATTAAAATAAAAACATACGCACACATTGAGTTGATTCATCCACCAGGTTTCAGAGGCTGTAAGTCTTACTGCCTGTGACTTGACCAGTGGATTTGAACCACCAGCTGATGATTAAGGAGCCATTTGATTCAGTAATTGTTATTAGATGCCACTGAGTCAACTACTATTTACAGTGATCACATGAATAACAGGTCTGAACCTTGCTGTACCATCTTCATCATCTCTGATATACTTGAGTCCACTGACACTGTGTCAATCAGTTGAGTTCTTAGGTTACATTATATGCTACCAGAGGAGACATCTTTGGGACAGGGTACTTTCTAATCTTTTTCTTATTAGAGAAATTTGTTGCTTATTAAAATTTGACCCAAGAATTACCATGAATTGAAGGGAATTGTTTGTACTCTTTCCAAGAAAGAATAAGCATTTCTCATTAAAAAGGAAATGTCTTTGTGATTTAAAAAAAAAGGAAATGTTAAGTGTCTTGGAACAATTTAGACATCTAATCATACATGTTGATTCTGAAATATTGATTGATGCTGGGCTCAGTGTTTTCCAAATCTTTATCCCAAAGCAGCTACACCTTTAAAAATTATTTTCCTCCTTGTGAGTACTGCTATTGTTTCTGGGGAGATAGGTGAATTTGTGAATTTGTAGCACTGCCGTGGTCTGCAGTGTACCGTTTTGACAGAGTCTCTGCATTTTGTCCAGGGGAGAACCGCTTTATCTCGCCCCTGTCCTGGGACTTGGTGGGACGGAACCTCTTTGCCATGGCCGTGGAAGGTGCAGTGTTCTTTCTCTTCACGGTGCTGATCCAGTACAGATTCTTCATTAGACCCAGGTGAGCGTTTTTGTTTGCAGAACACCTGGAACTTGGCCTGGCTGAGGGTTCCTTCCAAGGGAGGAACATGGGATCAGTGGTGGCTGCATTGTGTGGCGCAAAGTTGCTAATCAGGCCAGCTGTCCTGATGTGGGCATTCTGCAATGATCATTCTGTAGATGCTGGGAACTCTCTTGGGAGAGTTTTCTGGGTCTCACATTATGAGATTGCTGGGTCAGCTTGATCTTTGTCTTGAAAAATGACTCAAAAAGTTAAATTTCCTTCCCCTTCCCCTTTTCTCTAAGACCTATAAATGCAAAGCTTCCTCCTCTGAACGATGAGGATGAAGATGTGAGGCGGGAAAGACAGAGAATTCTTGATGGAGGAGGACAGAATGACATCTTGGAAATCAAAGAATTGACAAAGGTGAGGCAATCAGGACAGACCTGAAGCACTTGTGTTTGATTGTTTCCACCTTCAATGTCAGGAACTAGCATTTTGCTGACTGACTTTATGGAAAGAGTATGCTTCTCAGAGTGTCTGTATCTTGCAAGTTTCTGTCAACTTAATTTTATCTAAAGTGTGCCATGGGGACTCCTAAATTTAAAAATGCCCCTGAGAATCCTTTGGCAATAGAAATGATCATTTTTTAATAGATGTGTTTTGCACACTTAATATTTATAAAACTTAGTGATACCTCTTCAGAGCCGAGGAAGGGAGGGTAGGTAGTTAATTTTGAATATTATAGTCACAAAAGCGGATCGTTCACAGGAGCAGTGTCTCTTTCATCCCTCTCTGTGTGCTAACATTCCAATCATTCATTTTCCTGCAGTAAATACATACAAATCTCATTTTAGTCACAAATCTCTACCCTGTAGAAGGTCTAGAATTTAATTTTAAAATATCAACAGTTATAATCTGTGTTAAGTAAATGAAAACATGAATATTAATGGTCAGTATGCTTTTCAAAAGATTGATAATAGAATTAAAAGAGAATTTATTTTTATTTTGAGCTTTTTGAGTCAATCCATAGCCAGTTGATAGGTAGCCAGTGATTTATCAATGAGACTTATTTCATGGTGTGTTTGGGTTATAATGTTATTATCTGTGGTTCCTAGGCATAGCTGTGAGTCTCCAAGGCTCATGAATTCTTGGGTTTTGTTTCTTACAGATTTATCAAAGGAAGAGGAAGCCTGCTGTTGACAGGATCTGTGTGGGCATTCCTCCTGGCGAGGTAAAGGAACTTCATCCAACTTGTATTTCTTCCCATAATCCAAACTCCCTCAACCCAATCAGAAGGGAATGTCTGAAGTGGACAAAAGCTGCTTTTAAAGCTCTGTTTATTTTATCTACCTGGAACAGTCAGTCATCAGGATGATGAAAGCCCCTGGAGAGTGATTTTGAGTAATTCCCAGTTTTAAGAAAGCCTGAACTAAAATGTATTCTTGGAAACTATTCACGGTGATGGTAAAATTCAAATAGGTTTAAAAGATTTCTTTTATTCCTTCTACATCATGCTTATAATCCTTTTTTTTCCTTCCCCTTTTGTACTCATATTAGATCATGGAATCTGACTGGTTGGCATTCACTTCTGCCTTTTACACATTGACTTGGGCTTCAGTGATGATTCAAGTGATATCTACAAACTCACTCATTCTTACACTGACCCAATTTAAAAGATATGTTTAAATATCTTTGTGATTTTTTTAAAAAAACTAATGAAATATTTGGCCCTTTATTGATATTTAAGACTCATTTTTGTTGTTTGCTATGCCTTTGAGTTGTTTCCCACCCGTGTGACTCTGCATACAGCAGAATGAAGCACTGCCCAGCTGTGTGGTCCTTACAGTTGTTCTAAGGCTGAGCCCATGGCTGTAGCCTCTCTGCCACTCCATCTTTTTTGAAAGGCTTCCTCTTTTTCATGGACCTTCTATTTTATTGAACTTCTTCAGGGACTGGTCCCTCTTGATATCATGTCCAAAGTACCCAAGACTTAGCCTTGCCATCTTCTGCCTGTAGTTATTCCAAGACACTTGTTTACCATTCATTACCAACATTATAATTCCAATACATCATTTCTTCTCCAGTCTTCCAAATTTTTGCAAGCATGTGAGGAACTGAAGATAATATGCCTTGGGTCTAGAATACCTTAGTCATTAAAGTGACATATTTGCTCTTGGACACTTTCAAGAAGTCTTTTGCCGCACATTTGCCAAACACAGTATGTCATTGGATTTCTTGAGTGCTACTTCCACGGACACTGATCATGGTTCCAAGTAAAACTAAATCCTGAGAAAACAGTCTTTAAGGCCATTTGACTTGATGTGTCCTTGGTACCAAGTAAAACTAAATCCTGAGAAAACAGTCTTTAAGGCCATTTGACTTGATGTTGCTTATTGATTCCGTTGTGAGGATTTTTTTTTCCTTTATGTTGAGATGTAGTTCATCTTGAAGATTATAGTCTTTGTTCTCTATCAGTTAGTGCAGCAAGGTTGGATCATCTGCATATGCAGGTTGTAATGAAATCTTCCTCCAATCTTGATGTCTTATTCTCTTTCATATAGACAAACTTCTGAGCTTTTTTCCTCAGATTAGAGATTTAGTAAGTTTGGTGAATATAACTCTTGATGCACAACTTTTCTTGATTTAAACTATGTAGTAGGATGCACTTGTTTTGTTTGAATGACTACTTCTTGTTCAGTATCCAAAGTCTGCATGAAGACAGTTAAGTGTTCTTAATCTCACTTTTTGTAGTGTTATCCATAATTTATGATGCTTCACACAATTAAATCCCTTTGCATAGTCGGTAAAACATCTTTTAGGATCATATTATAGAAAAAACTTAAAGCAGAGGTATCTTATATGTTTGGAGTCTCAGTAGCTTGGCTTTTTACAATGTACCCTATTTTAATATTTTCAGTGTTTTGGACTTCTGGGAGTTAATGGGGCTGGGAAATCATCCACTTTCAAGATGTTAACTGGAGATACCACTGTTACCCGAGGAGATGCTTTTCTTAACAAAAACAGGTGAGAAAAGAATGGGTCTGCATTTTGTTACAAAAAAAAATTCTTTTTCCAGCTTAAAAAAGAATGTAGGGTGTTTTTTTAAATTCCTGATTATAACAGTATTATGCAGAGTTCACAAAAATAATGAAATAATGGAATGTAAAGAAGAAAATAAAAATCATCCTATCTTTATAACTCACTGTTTTTTATAATTTCTATTGAGTTATAATTTGGATACCATACATTTCATGTTGTAAAGAGTACAAGTCTGTGATTTTTAGAAAATTTAGAATTTACCACTCTAAATATTGATACTTCTAAATATTCATAGAAATTTATTACAAAATGATGATGATAAGATAGTTTTAGATTGTTGTTATTATGTGTCACTGAGTCAGAACCAGCTCATAGCTGATCCTGCATTAGATTTTCAGATGCAAGTTGTGCCAAGAAATCTGGAGGACAGCCACCTGGCCTATTGATTGGAAGAGATCTATATTTGTTATCATTCCAAAGAAAGGTGATCTGACAGAATCTAGAAATTATTGAACAGTATCATATGCAAGCATGATTCTGCCGAAGATGATCCAAAAATGACTAGAACAGCACATTAACAGAGAACTGCCTGAAGTGCAGGCTGGATTTAGAAGAGGCTGTGACACTAGGGATATTATAGCTAATGTCAGATGGATCTTGGCTGAAAGCAGAGAGTACCAGAGGAATGTCTGTCAGTGTTTCATTGACTATGCAAAGGCATTTGACTGTATGGTTCACAGCAAACTGTGGTTGACTCTGTGAAGAATGGGAATCCCAGAACACTTGATTGTGCTTATGCGAAACTCATACTTGGACCAGGAGGCAGTCATCAGAACAGAGCAAGGAAACACTGCATGGTTCAAAATTGGGAAGCGTGTGCATTAAGGATGTGTCCTATCTCCGTATCTTTCCAATCTATATTCAGAACAGATTATCTAGGAGGCTGGGCTCTATGAGGAGAAGTGTGGCATCAGGATTGGAGGTAGACTCATCAACAATCTCCTTTATGCACAACCCTGCTTGCTGAAAGTGAGGAGGACCTGAAGCGCTTGCTGTGGAGGGTTGAAGCGCAACATCAAGTAAACAAAGATTCTCACCACTGGGCCTGCTGATTGGCAGCATCATGATGGATGATGAAGAGATTGAGATTGTTCACAGCTTCAGTTTGCTTTGGTTGGCTCTACAATCAACACTCTTGGTAATTAATAGAAGTTAAAAGATGAATTGCATTGGGAAAGTCCGCTGTCAGAGTCCTCTCCAAAGTACTGAGGAGCAATGATGTCAGTCTGGAGATGATGAATTTATGCCTGATACAGGCCATGGTCCTTGCAATTACTTAGTATGTATCAGAGAACTAGACAGTGACTAGGGATGATAGAAGGAGAGTTGATGCCTTTGAGCTTTGGTGCTGGAGAAGAGTATTGAGTATAGCATGGACTGCTACGAGAACAAACAAGTTCATCCTGCAGAGGTGAAGCCAGGCTGCTTCTTGGAGGCACGGATTTTGAAGCTCCGTCTGATATACTTCGAACATGTTACAAGACAAAGGCAGTAGCAGTCCTTGGAGAGGAACGGGATGGCGCAGGAGAGGAAGAACCTTGATAAGGTGGATTGATTTCATCACTGGGATAAAGTGGATAGGCATGTTGGAGACAGTAAGATTGGCAAGGGATAGAACAGGGTTTAGGATATTGTACATAGGGTTGCTATGAGTCGTAAGTGACTCGACAGCATATAACAACAACATAAATCACATGGGAGAAGATTGATTGCCCATCTTTCTCCTATGCATGGATTCAAATTATGTGCCTTTTGGTTGGTAGCATACCTTCTTGCCAATAAGCCATCAGAGCTCTCTGAATATAGAATTTCAGGTTAGTTTTTAGTATTTTAATATTTCCTAGTGAATTATATATCCTAAGGTGTAGAATTCTACATTACTTTCTATCTATCCATCCATCCACCCACCCACCCATGTAATTAATTTAATCAGTCACTTATCTGTAGATATTAGAAGTTTCTGGTTTTCACTGTATGCACTAGTTTACTAGGATTGCCATAATAAAATAGCACAAACTAGCTGATATAAAGCAGTGAGAGGCAGTTAGACATGAAAGCATTTGCAGGCCCGTGGGTTCTCTGAAGGCTGTAAGGAAGGCTGTTTCCTGCTTTTTCCTGCCTTATGCTGCATTGCTGGCAATCCTTGGCTTGTGGACTCATCACTCTCATTTCTGCCATTGCTCTTAGGCCATATGCCATATGCTCTTCTTCTCTGTGTTTCTTCATCTTTCTGTTCCTAAATCTCTAAATCGGAATTTTCCCCTTTTTTATAAGGATACTAGTTAAGACTCATCATAATCTAATATGACCTCATTTTCACTTGATTACATCTGCAAAACCCCAGTTTCCAACTAAGATTCACAAGACCTGGGTTATGGAAATTTTTGGTGAATACTGTTTAACTTACTTAGTACACTGTATAAATATGCCCTAGTTTTTCTCTCTGGTTTTTTCCTCATGTGAAATTTCTAGAAAGCCAAAGATGACATATACCTGCTAAACTGCTTTTCCTAAATGTCATGCCAGATGATATGGCCACTGTCAAGCCATTATCTGAGATTGCGTAAGTCAGGAAACAATTTGATCTTCGGGGATACAGCTGCACTTTACCTGTTGGACAGTTTTGCCCCGAGTACTCTTAATATGTTGTGCTTCTCTGGAAAAATGATAAAAGGTAGTGGCTTTTTGACCATAGTAGAAAGTACATTTTATATCTCAACCTAGATCATAGACACTTACACATTTAACTTAAAAACAAGATTTTACAATGCAATACTTACTCTTACTAGTTTTAATTATTGTGGCAATTTCTTATTCAACTCTACAGCATGCTGGTCATGACCCACTGTATTTATTTTACAACTCACTAATGGATGATGACTCACAATTCTGAAAACACTGGACTGGGGGCTACTAGCCAACAAAATGGAAAAGAGCAGGGACTCTAATGTGCTCATCAATCTTCTCCGCTGTCTCATACCAGTTTTTTTCAATAGGAGTAAGGAGGCTTCAGGGAACGGAAATTCTGGGAATAGCTGGTGTAAGCCTGCACATCTGCTTCGGCTTCCTCAGGCTTGTTCCCAGGACCTGGCTCCGGAGGCACATAATGGCAGCAGTGATGGGCCTAAACTATGGTTTGCCACAGGGTCTGGTGTAAATGCTGCCTGGGGTGATAGAGCTGAGAGGGTCTTGTACTGTGTACACAGGCTACCTCAGCCATAATTTTAGAAAAGGTTGGTCCTGAGGGGACATGAGATATGCAGAGAGAAATGAGTTCTGCTAAAACAAAAAGTCCTTAGTGACCCGGAAATGACTGAGGGGCAGTCATTTGGATGGAGGTGGGGGTGGGGTGCAGGCACAGGGCTTCCTCTGAATCAGAAGTTACCAACCCCAGATTGGCTTCATAGGAACTCTAAGTCCCTTCATTATGTATGAAAGAAGTCGCTAGGTGCCACAAATGGCTCTGTGCTTGGCTGTTAATTGAAAGATTGACCTCAGAACAAATGGCTTTGTGATCTGTTCCAAAAGGTGGCACCCAGTGAAGTCCTTTTAGATACTTCTACTCTGAAACACTTGGGGCCACTGCAAGACAGAATCACATCAACCGCTCAGACATAACAACTGGTTTTATTTGTCTTTAATGTAGAAAATTATGTTTGTAGATTCAATTTCCTGTCACAAGATTCTCAGGGAGTCCAAATGTAAAACTTGAAGTAATAAAGTTTAAGGGACCCAGGAGCATACTTGGGCTGATGGTCTCTAGAATGAGAAGAGGGTATGCCCATGTAACTGCGTCTCACACGCGCGTGTGCGTGCGTGTGTGTGTAAGGAAAGCTCATGTCCAGAATCACTGGGCCTCCCTCTTTTGGGTCCAAATGACCACAAAGGAGATTTTGGACCATGTGTGGTACAAGGGACTGGGCCACAGATTCATGGTCTGAGAGGGAGACTTAGTTTAAAGAACTTAGATGGTGTGATCAGAGTTGTTGGTAAAGATACTGTGGCAGGTGGGATGGACTTGGGAATCTGGAAATGTGGCTGAATCTGCATCAGTATGCAGTTTTGGGTGTAAGGGAGAGCCAGACGCAAGGACTAAGAAGGCTAGAGGCAGCCCACCCAGGGGTCGGTCACCCTTTACTCTAGCACCTGGGATGGAGAGAGGCTGTTCCTTTAAATAGAGGTGGATGTGCTTAAAGATATTTTTGTCAAACACTAGTAGGTTTTATAGGAACTTTAGGCCGGATTTTCTAAACCTGACCAGCTTTCTTTTTCTCCGCAGTATTTTATCAGACATCCATGAAGTACATCAAAACATGGGCTACTGCCCTCAGTTTGATGCTATCACAGAGCTGCTGACTGGGAGAGAACATGTGGAGTTCTTTGCTCTCTTGCGAGGAGTCCCAGAGAAAGAAGTTGGCAAGGTACTGTGGACCCAGGAGCCAGGCTGCCTTCTCTTGCATTCTGATGATGTATATGCCTATGACTTTGGCGTTAACCATCGACTCGTTAACCATCGACTCCAGGCCATTTGTTCTCTGTCGTTATATACCACCAAGTCAGAACTGATTGATAGCTCACCCTCCAGCAGTTTCTCATAGGTAGTAAAACTCATGGGAGGAGACTGCCCATCTTTATCCTGCAGAGCAGCTCGTGGATTCCAACCACCTGCCTTTGGGTTGGCAGCACAAGTCCTTACCACTAAGCCACTGGAGCAGCCTGCTTTTTCTCTAGGATATAGAGTTATGAAATGCTGGCTCTTTGCATCTACTTCTGGAGTGGGACTCTCTGGTGCTGATGAGATAGGAATGTCAGGAAAAGTGACTTGATGGAGGGGCTAAGATGGTGTGCTGCCCCACTCACACCAGTCCCTCTTGTAGTTCCACAGAAATGACCAGACTGTGTTGATATAATGGGATAGAGAATCCATTCCTACTCGGTGAAACTTTGTTATGTAAATGTAACAGAATGAAACCCACTACCCTTGACCCACAGCAGGAACCACTGAGTCAATTCTGAGTCATAGTGACCCTGCAGGACAGGGCAGAATTTGGCCCCATAGTTTCCAAGGCTTTACAATCTTGATGGAAGCAAACTGCCCCGCTTTTCTCCCACAACATGTAAGGAAACATGATAAAATCTCCAAGCCAGACAAAAATCGGGTTGCTTTTTCTCACTCTAGGTTGGTGAATGGGCAATTCGGAAACTGGGCCTTCTGAAATACGGAGAGAAGTATGCTGGCAACTATAGTGGAGGCAACAAACGTAAGCTGTCCACAGCTATCGCTCTGATTGGCGGGCCACCAGTGGTGTTTTTGGTGAGTGTGGTGGGAGGAAGGCTGTGGTCTCAAGCGAACGTAGAGCCTCACTTGTCTGAAGCCCCAGGTCTGGAGCTGTTGCCTGACTGACTTGGCACCAGCCAGCCTTCAACAAGAAATAGGAGAGGAGTCTGAGAGAACCCAAGGGACATTCGCTTGTTTTCTTCCTTCAACAAACAACTGGCAGCTGTACCATGCCTTTGTTGTTGTTGTTGTTGTTGTTGTGTACTGTTGAGTCAGAACCGACCCATAGCTGACCTTCTAACAGGTTGGGTTTTTGTTTTTTTTTTTCTTTCCTTAAAAGTTGGCCAAACCTTAAATCAGTTTTGAGAACAACTGGTTACCTTTTGGTTTAAACAATCTTGGGTATCGTTTTCTGACCCTTGCAAACAGACAAATCCTATTTGATATTCAGTCCACCAGAATCCAGCTTCACTATGCTAAAGGCTCACTTCCAGCAGGTTTTGAGAGGCTCTTAATCAGGCAGGAGGAGAGTATCCATCTTTCTCCCATGGAGCAGCTGGTGGATTTGAACTGTGTGCCTTCGGGATTGCAATGCAGCTTCTTACCACTAGGTCACCAGAGTTCCCTAGACCTACCTAAAGAGTCCACACGCTTTGGTTTTCTAGAATGGAGGACCCCCTTGGGTGTTGTTGAGGTTGGGTGTCTAATTTAACCTTTTTTATGGAAAATGCTTTCTGTTTGTCCCCTGAGGTTGAGGGGTGTGACTGTAGTTCAGGTCCCTTAGGAAGCACCTGGGTCACTGTTTCTCACACACAGAGAGTAGGACAGTGGACGATTGCCAGTTAGAAGCCCTTGACCCTCCTTTTTCTGTAGAGAGGAAGATCATGGAAGCTCTAAGGTGTCTTAAGGTCAGGCTTTCATGTTACTCAGATCTGGAAGGAGTACATTGTAGATTATGAGTCAAATATGACAGGCTAAGTTAGAGTGAACTAAAATAAAAAGGAAGGAAAAAAGAATTTTATCCAAGTCTTATGCTGACTTAGTAGATTTCAGATCCCCCCCAAAAAGGACTTTTTAGCATATGCTTACTAAGTCATGTAAAGAAAAAATTAAATGACTTTGCCTCTTTCTGCTACTTAAGAATTTGGTCAATTTTTATAGATGCTGGTTCAGAATGGTTTCTTGCTTAAAAGAGACATTTATAATAAAGTGAACTTGCTAGAAATGAGTATGAAACTTATTTTCATATATAAGGCCTTGTTTGTTTAATAGAAATTCACAGTCAGCTGTTGCTAAAATGTTGCTGTCTTTGAGAAAAAAGAAAAAAGTCTGTATTTAATGTTTTGTGTTTTTTTTGTTTGGGTTTTTTTCTTTTTAAGCAAGTAGTAAAGACACTTTTACTTTGATTATAGGATGAACCAACTACAGGCATGGATCCCAAGGCCCGGAGATTCCTGTGGAATTGTGCCCTTAGTATCATCAAGGAGGGAAGATCAGTAGTACTTACATCTCACAGGTCTGCAGTGAAAGCCTGGGTTGGCTTCTGTGTTGTGCTGATTTTTTAAACTTGCCAAGTACTGTATATGACTGATGTGAAAAAATTAAGTTATAGAGAAAGGCAAAGATGAAAACATCCCATGAATCTGTACCATTTGTATAAAACTATTAGTACCATTGGACTGTACATCCTTTGTAATGTTTTCTTATGAAAGCCTGCGTACACAAATACGTGTGTGTGTGTAGATTACCTTTTACAAACAAAAATACAACTATGTAAAACTTAGCAATATGTCAATATTATTTCAAGTCACTAAGTGTGAATATAAAAATATTTTTCTTGGGATAGTTTCCAGTTAGGATAAACCTCAGTTTAGTTAACTCTTCCCTCCCCTTTTCAGATAGCTGCATTGTTTCTAACTTTCCCCCCACAATTGTAAACAGCACTGCACTGAAGAAACGAGCTCCAGCTTGACGTCTTCATGCATTCATAATAAGGATGCTCCTATGCCCTATGAAGCTAGAAATCTGTTTCTTAAAAATGTCAAATGTCACGATGATGTTTGAATGCATTACATCTGGTTACAGAGGCATTCTCCCTGGAACTAAAACCTGGTTTTGTTTTCCTGCAGTATGGAAGAATGTGAAGCTCTCTGCACTAGGATGGCAATTATGGTCAACGGGAAGTTCAGGTGTCTTGGCAGTGTTCAACATCTGAAAAACAGGTAACAAAGATAATTTCTTGGGACTATTACTAGTGAGAGAGCTCACTATTTCCTCTTTGGTGACAGTATAGCTGTAGATCTAAAATAAACAAGACTTAGCAAAATGCTATAGTGAAAATACCCAGTGTCATCAAGTCAATGCCAACTCTTAGGAGTCCTTCATTCCATTTCTGAGGCTATTAGTAATTAAGGGAGGAGACTGCCCATCTTTCTGTCAAGGAGAAACTAGTAGATTTGAACCACTGACCTTGTATAGTAACACAACACACTATATGCTGCCATCAGTGCACCATTGAAATCAGAGCTGCATGCAAATTTTATTTTTACCATTTCCTCATTGTGCCCCCATCAGGCAAATTACTTAACCTCTATGAAATTTTGTTTCCTAGTAGTATCTCCTTCTTAGCTTGATTATAGAGAAAATGAAAATAATGAATACATTCTACTGTAGCTAACAGCATACAACTTGGAGTCAGACGTAAATGAGTTAGCACTTTAACAATTTCCCTTAAGACTTTGTGCCAGTGACTAACTCCTTGGACTTTGCTCTCTTTATTTGTAGTATCTACCAGACCTCAGGAGTCAGAGTGAAGATTACATATGCATGTAAAACCCCTTAGGAGGACACCTTACACAGAGTTGGGACACTGTAACTGATTCCCCTTAGAAACTTCCTGTTGGGACCTCCCTTATTCTCTGTACAAGTTGAGGATCTCAGGGTTAAAGAGTCTTGAGCATTTATCTAGAGGATCATTGGCATTTGAACTTGTCCCATTTTCAGGTTTGGAGATGGCTACACAATAGTGGTACGAATAGCAGGGTCAAATCCTGACCTGAAGCCTGTCCAGGAATTCTTTGGACTTGCCTTTCCTGGAAGTGTCCTAAAAGAGAAGCACCGGAATATGCTGCAGTACCAGCTTCCGTCTTCATTATCTTCTCTGGCCAAGATATTCAGCGTCCTCTCCCAGAGCAAAAAGCGACTCCACATAGAAGACTACTCTGTTTCCCAGACAACACTTGACCAAGTAAGCTTTGACTGTCCAAAGCCATGTCCTTGCAGATCTCTCTGTATGGGCTTTAGAGCAGGTCAGAGGGTCTGAGCTCGGTTGCAGACACAATTGTTACTAAACCTCTAGAATCTTGAAAAGAGACGATATGATCCCTGTGAGAATTAATAATAGTAATCATAATAATCATATTAAGTACCATTTATTGAATACCTACTAAGAAGTCAAAGCAGGCATTTTGTTAAGTATCTTACTGATTTAAATTAGACTATAAAATGCCAAACAGCCTGATACTTGGTAGATGTTCGGTGTTAGCTTTCTCCCTCCGTTCCTTTAATCAAGCCTGTAGGTTGCACAGCAGATAGGTGATTGATGACTTGGTGGACAATAGAGAAGGTCAATGTAAGTGATTAATGCTTTCTCAGGCATTGTTTTCCCTGCTGTAAAGTTTTCTGGTTGATCTAAGTAGTAGGCAAGCCTGAATTCTTCTACTTGTACTAATTTCAACATAGAGGAAAATGCAGGTAGAATTAAGAAAGAGCAAGTTGACAGGTGTTTATAGATAGCCTTTTATTTTTGACAGGTCTTTGTGAACTTTGCCAAGGACCAAAGTGATGATGACCACTTAAAGGACCTGTCGCTACACAAAAACCAGACAGTAGTGGACGTTTCCGTGCTTACGTCATTTCTGCAAGATGAGAAAGTGAAAGAAAGTTATGTATGAAGACTTTTGTTCATACAGAGTGGCTGAAAGAAAGGTGAAACTAACCCTTCCTTCACACCGTGGTGAAGTGTTCTGGAGGAAGAGCCAGAAGTTTCTGTGGGAAGAAATAAACTGGATACTGTACTGATAACTGTTCAATGCAATGCAATTCAATGCAATGAAAACAATATTCCATTACAGGGGCAGTGCCTTTGTAGCCTTTTCTTGTATGGCTCTCAAGTGACAAAGACTTGAATTTAGTTTATTACCTTATGCCTGTGTGAAACTCTAGTATGGAACCCTGTGGACATAGGGGTTTGACATGTACTCTTTTGTATTCTCACTGGGATTGCAACCATCATTCATTGCATAATCATGGCCAGTGGTTATTTATCACCATCAAAAGGCATGTACATCCTCATTCATTAAGCTGTGCCATGCCAGGAGACTGGTTTCCTGGTGACACATCCATTGCTGGCAATGAGTGCGCCAGAATTCCTAGTGCCAAGTTGCTCAGAAAGGCTGAAAGCACCGTGGTGTGTCATATACACGTCTGTGAAAGCTGCTCTCTACTCAGTCTTATTGACATCTTTTAAGTATCAGGCGACAAAATGGTGCCATGTGTGGGTTACGTCCTGCTTCAATTATCTTATTGATAAGCTGTGTAGTGTGGTAACATGCAAAATATGAGTATCTCTAGACACTTGAGACTTGGTTCCACTGCACATAGCCCCTCGCATGGAGCTGTGGGTATCCCATGGCTTGCTGGGACTCCTACTCATACTTAGATCCTGGTAAAAGGCAAAGAATCCGCAGCCAGACTGCAGCAGTGGAACGCTGCTGAGGTCCAGGCATGAAATTAAAGGGATGGCTTGAAGACTAGAGGAGGCCAGAGTCCATCCGTCCTGATTGTCTAATAACACGGTACTCTGCATCTCAAGATCTTTGTTGTTTGTCACAAATGTATTCTTGTTTCTGGCTTTTTTAAATTAATCTTGAGTAGGAAAAGATGGAGTTGTATTTTGACAAGAATATTTGTATTTTTTAATGTTATTTGGGTTTTTTAAGTTCTGCCAGTGAGTTAGGAAATCTTAGGAAATGGACTCTGTAGAACTCTGTAGCATGGAGTCTGTTTGCCTTTACAAGGTTGCAGGTGAGTAATCTGATGGGTGAAAACAATGTGATGCCCAGGATCTCATGACACAGTTAGAGTTGAATTTGAAGGTCATTTAAAATTCTCTAAATCTGAGTTCAGCAGTCAAGTACTTTATTGAGTAATATAGCTGAATGCATATGGTTGGTATGAGGGAAAACAAAGTCTTGGGCAACTTTTGTGCCATGCTCTTCAGCTAACTGGTTTACAGATAGAAGCCATTTTTACAGTTCTTGTGGGGGAGTCTACTGAAAGAATATTGGGCATTTATTTAAAAAAACAACACACCAAAACAGCAACAAGTACAGGAGCCAATAAAGTGTAAGGGCCGCAGGTTAAACAATGAATTTTTTTACAGAAATTGAAAATTTGCTGACCAAACAAAATTTGCGGTTATGGTATTGTGTTAGCTTCATATCAGTGGTGTGGCAGATGTTAGACAACCCATTAAAAATTTCTTGACAATCTCAAAATTTCCATTTCTCCAATAACTGCCCCAACATGGGGGGGAAAAAACCCCAAGATCCCCCAAAAACAAGACCAAAACCTCAGCAAACAATCTTACATGAAGTATTTATCAATTTTTTTCTAGCTCAGTTATAATTTTTTAATCTATAAACATTTCAACAATGCTTATCCCCATCTGCCTTGAGACCACAATATGAGAGAATTAATGCTTGGTGAGGTGGTTTTTAATATCATCATTTATCCTTTTACTAAAATTTAAATATTAACTAAAGGGGAAAAATTTCAGATTTGTTTCAAATTAAGCTTGCTTATTAAATATCAGAATGTTATGTAATTCATTACTTGAAAAGAGAAAATGACTTCGAAATTGCAAATGTTTTCTAAGATGATAAGTAGCATAAGGGAGGCATATTTCTAGTAATATTGGAGTACGCTCATATTGTATAATCTTTCATAATTTAAAATTCAGAATAGTTTTCCCTATCAAAATATTCTTAAAAAGTCAGACTTGGCTTTCTCATTTCCTGTGAGTACACTCTGATTTTTCTATTACATTTAACCCAAGAGCAACTCCATGCTTTAATTACTCTTTATTTTGAAACCATATTTAAAAATTCAAAAGTCAGTGGGATGTTCTTAAAGTTCAAATAGAGATTTAAAAAATTTTTTTAACTGGAAACAGAATACACATCGACCTCATTAATACTGTTACTGTTTAGACTCTCCAGGTGATAACCTTTTAAAAACTTCCTGTGTAAATCTAGGTATGAGAAAAATTTTTGCTAGATTTATGTTCAAGTTAAATTTTATATATCCCTATAGAAAATTAACTACATGAGTTCCAGAAGTGTGTAAAAAAATCCAAACGAGTATATTCAAAGATTTCTGCTTTGCCTTTTTTTGGTTATTAACAACTGTGAATATGAAAGAAAACAAACAATAACACGGCCATCTGTAAAGAAATGCCCAGCACTGTTCAAAAGAAAAACTGTTTAAAAAATATTGTTTAAAAGAAAAACAACCAAACCTCAGACTACTGTATTTTAATATCTGTACTGAAATAGCTGTTTTGTGACTATTAAATGTTGCACATCATTCATTCACTGTATAGTACTCATTGACTAAAGGGATTTGTCTACGTTTTCTTCTTCTTGTTGTTGTATATATCAGGTAAAAAGTTTCCAAAGAGCCATGTGTCCTATAATACTGAACCACTTTGATATTGAGATATTAATTTGTACCCTTGTTACTATTTACTGGTAATAGGTCCTTATGTGGTTGGGTTCCGCTGAGTTATTCTGACTCACAGTGACCCTGTGATAGAGTAGAATCGTCTGTAGGATTTCGTAGGCTGTAATCTTTACGGGAGCAGATTGTCAGATCTTCACTCCCATGGAGCTGCTGGGGGTTTCAAACTGCTCACCTTGTGGTTAGTAGTTGAGTGTTTAACATTGTGCCACCACAGCTCCTTTTACTGGTAGTGTAGTTCTAGAGTAATATGCTCTAGTTTGTGGAGTTTTTTCCCCCCCAGATTGTTGCATCCCTTTTTATAGAATGTTTGTATTTCAGTAAGGATTAGGTGTGCTGTTCTCCTTAAACCTTAGGATGAACTATGTTCTTTGCTTTTTCTTACCATAGGCCCTTCATTCCAAGCACTTTATGCTGTCTATTTTTTTGCACTGGAATATCTAAGAATTGCAAAAGTAGACAAAAACTTTCAAAACATTTCTAAGTTAAATAATTTTCATTAAAATAAAAACTATTTGTAATGTCAATAATTTTATATGAAGTATTAAAAAAAAGCATATTTCTGTGTTACAATGACTCAAGAAATAAAGCTGTGTCGGTTCTATTGGTCTATAAATATTTCCTTTCATGCACTGGTAGCACCACCTACTGTTAAACATTGTTACAAAGCTCTTCTAAGAAATGTCTGCCAGCACAGGGGACAGTATCTATCTGCACATCCAAAGTAAACATTTTTGGAAAGACTTGCATGATCTGTTCATCACGAGAGAGAAATGAGGGAATACATGAAAATAAGCAAATGTTCTACAGCCTCAATGATTCATTTACAACATTAACTGGAATTGAACAAATTTAAGTGGTTTTCGAAGAAACTTAGGCTGAGGAATGATTTTTGAAGCTACAGGAGTCCCTATAACTGGCTATCCTTAGTAGCCTAGCTTATTTAATGAACAAAATCTGGACTTTGGTATTGAGGAGGCTACAGAAGGTAGTTTTCTGTGCTGCTTCCTTGTTTGTTTGTTTATCCAGAACCAAAGGGACAGTGAATCCTGGCACGGGGACTGGGGGAGGTGGCAGGAGTGAGTTTATAGGAAAAGAAATGGTACGGAGGCTGATGAAAGAAGTGCCTTTCCTTTCTTATATAAAAAGTTCTGTACAGTCTACACACAGCGTTAGGTTGTGCTGTTGTGAGACATATAAATATTTCTCATAGGGACCTCTGGTGGCCTAGTGGTAAGAAGCTACACTGTAATCCCAAAGGCACATGATTCAAATCCACCACTGCTCTGGGGTAGAAAGGATGGGTGATGAATCACTTCTGAGACAATGCTTTTTTTCAGTACTTGAAGAAATGCTATTTTGATAGCCCTTTAAGACAGCACGGTAGAGTCATGGCTTGTTTTGCGACCACATCTGAAAGGCTAGGACACAGAGTGAGCAGACTTTGTGGCACCATGAATTTGAACTTGGGTGCAAACATCACCTGGGCTTGAAATGAACCTGGAAGACTGCTCAGCTTAGGGTTACAACTTGATCCTCTCACCTTGAACTTCAAATTACAGAAACTTTAATAAAATTATTTTTTAAAAAACAAAACCTTGTTGTGAATAAAAAGAACTTGTGGGTAGGAAAAGGAGGAAAAACCCCCTTGAGATACTAAAAGATTAATTGTGATGAAGGCATAAAAATATACATTGAGTGTTGGTGTAAACATTCTTTAACCTAGAGGAAGCATTCTTAAGCATTTGGGGACTTAAAACTTTGGATCCTTTGGATGCTGATGTATCAAAAGGGTAACAGTAGCAGTGAAGGAGAAGAGGACGCCTGTCAGGATGGACTGACACGGTGATTTCAGCAGTGGGCTCTGATGAGGACGACAGAGGATATGGCAGGGTTCAGGTCAGCTGTTCACCCCATCTCTAGAAGTCATGCTTGAGTCGATGGCACCTCACAACCACCACCACCCCTACCCATTTCAGTTAGTTTCTGTGTTGACGGGCACTTCCTTTTATGCTGCCCTGGAAGGCAAGTTCTTGTGTTATCCACAGGATTTTTGAAGGCCTCTTACTTCAGAAGCTGATGGCCTGAAACTTGTCCACCATGGACGACCTTCCTGGTATGTGAAATAGCAGGAGTGATGGCAGGATCCTCAGTGAGTTGGATGGACACAGTGCCTACCTCGTGGGGCTTGAGCACGCCCGGGGACCATGAGGTTGGTGCAGGATGAGGTTGGTAAAAGGTTCAGCTCTGCTGTGCACAGCATCTTCACGAGTCGCCGGCAATTTGACAGCACCTAACACAGCAGCTAAGTAGTACTGTTTCTCTCAGAGGATAAAGAATTTATCCAAGACCATATGGTTTGGGGCAGAGGGTGCTCATAAATGAAATATCAGTTAAGATTTTCTGAGATAGTTTGCATCATTATGTATTATCAGGTACTGAAATCTACTGTGAGCCACACACTCTTTTAGATGTTTAAGAAGACAGAACTCATGCTTTAAGAACATAATTGACTGGAGAAAGATCATGGGTATGTAGACACATGGACACGGTGAAAGCAACAAGTGTTAAGAAGAAAATACAGCTCAGGAATAAGAATGAAGAGAGGAGTTAGCCTTTCTGAAGTGACATTTAAGCTCAGACCTTAAACAGGAGTAAACTGAAGGTGTGTGGGAAGAACATTTCTCAAAGAAGGATCATCTACTGCAACACTCTAAGAGAAAAAGAAAAAAAACCCCAAACTTAGCTGTGTGACCAAATTCAACGCAGAGCACGTGGACAGTTTGTCCTCTCAAGTTTGGGCTCCTAAGTGTTACTATGTGGTGTATGTCAGGCTGGAGTCTCCCTCTCCCAAAGACTTGAGCGGCGTGGGAGACAGCAGGAAGGTCAGTGCCACTCTGTGGGCACCAGTGAGGGTGCAGCTGCTGCTCGGTGTTCCAGCGACCAGGGCTCTGAGCAAACTTGGTGGCCAGGAAAATGAGACTTGCGGAGAAAGCAGGTGAGTGAGGAGGAGTTGAAAGTGGAGGGGAAAGCAGAGGTCAGTGCTTAGTGAAAGTAAAGACCGTATTCTCCAAAGATGACCAGGCCACTCTCCAAAAGGACTGGAGTTGACAACAGGCTATAAGGTCAAGTGTTTCAAAGAGGCAAAACCAGTTTTGTCCAAAATTGCTGATAATGTAGAGAAGTGACCTCTGAATTTGATTATGAAGGTTTCTGGTAACCTACAGAATTCATTTTAGAGGCTCATAAGAATAATGCATGTTTGAGATGATTTCAGGGAAGTATGAATGGTAGTTGCTGCTGCCGTTGTTACACTCCACTGAGTCACCTACAACTCACAGCAAGTCTATGCACTGTAGCTCTGAAACCTGTCCTGTCCTGAGTGAATCTCACTGACTTCTACACACCTACCTCCATTATTACCCCAGTTACTGTGTCAATCCATCTTATCCAGAGTCTTCCTCTCTTGCTCTGTCCCTTTACCTTTCCAAGCATAATGTCTTTCTCCAGGGACTGGTCCCTCCTGGAAACATGTCCAAAGTATGTGAGAAAGCGCCATAAAATCCTTGCCTTTAAGGAGCAACTTATTTTCTACTCTCCAGGACAAACCTGTCAATGTTAATAGAATGTTAAACATTCTTCTCCAGCACTACAACTCAAAGGCATCAATCTTTCTTCTGTCATCCTTAGTTACTGTCCTGCTCTCTGATGCAGAGCAAGTAATTTCACAGATCATGGCCTGGATCAAGTGCACCTTGGTCTTCAGACTGAAACTGTTGCTCTTTAGCACCCCAGAGAGGTCCCTGACAGCAGATTTTCCCAATACAATTCACATTTGATTTCCTATGCACTACTCTACTGAGGAATATGGCTTTGAAAGGTGCAGAAAAAGAATATCTGACTTACAAACATTTTGTTTGAACTGTATTGTTTTATTTGAATAATGTCTTAGTAGTTCAGGCACCATGTTCTCTATTTGTTTGTTTTTAGCCTGTAAGGATTTTTTTGTTGTTGTTTAAAATCCTTTCACACAATCAAATTTTTAATATTTGGCATGTTCCAACATATAGAAAGGAATAGGAGAGAAAAAATACAGAATTACAAACCTTGAGGTTTTTGGTCTGAATAAATGATCAGAGTTGCCACTGAGATGAGATTTCTGGGTAGGATTAAGAGCTCAGCCTTAAACATCTGAAGGCCGAGATATCTATTAGACATTCAGGTAAAGATGCTGAGAAAGTACATGGATAAAGTGAGTCTGGAAGTAGAAGAAGATGTGTAGACTAGAGGGGTTTTCGATGACTAAGAAGCAAGCGTAGATTGATGAGAGAAGAGGTCTAAAGAGAAGCCCTGAAAGACTCTAACATCGGAAGTCAAGATAGAAAGGAGACTAGTATGTAACAACAAAGAAGGTTTTGTGCAGCGTTTTGGAGAACAAATGACGAGACTGTTTCCAAAAGAAACAAGACGTCAGTTGTAAAGTGAGGACTGAGAAGTCGGCTTGACAAGTGCAATTTGCCCGATGAGATTAAAGTAACCTGAATATGGATGAAAGAAAATATGGACTATACTTTGGAACTATATTGTAAAATAAAAGGAAAATGAGATAGCTGCAGAGGAAATACTGCTTACTTTCTAAGATGGGGAAAAGAGCATATGTTGAGAAGAATCCTACAGAGAGGGGAGAAAATACGGTTGCAGGAAACAGGAACTACCAGAGGCACATTCTTAAGCAAATAGGTGTACAAATACAGGAGTCTGTCTTTGCTTGAAGCATGCACATTTCATCCACAAAAAAACAGGAGAGAAAGGGCATATTAATAATGTTTCTTTCACACTCCATGACAGGCCAGATAAACCAGATCCCTGTGGTTCAAATAAATTTCTTCAGATAGCGAATCCATCATTTTGTACTGTATATGTGTGATATGTTTTTGAAATGTAAAACAACATAGGTATAGTGTAGATCTAGTTGATGAGGAGAACATAGAAATACCAAAATAGGGTGTTTGGTAAACAGTGGGGCAGTATAAAGGACGATGACCCTCACTGTGATGAACTTGCTGGCACAGTGGTCGTGACAATGGGTCCAAGCACTATAGTAATTGTGAGGACGGGCAAATGCTTTGTTCTGTTGCACTTTGGGGTCACTATGAGTCAGAGTCACCTTGATGGCATTTAACAGCGTTAGCAGGCAGAAACATTCAAGTAAAACAGAAATGACAGGAAACCTCTAGAAATTTCAAGGAAAATTCCAGCACATCTGTGACAGTGCTGAAGAAAACTCTCTTCCTGGGATTAGTTTCTTGAGGTGACTTACCATTTACAAGATTATTGTACTGTACTGGTGAGTTGAAACTGACTCACAGTTGGCCCTACAATGGGTTTTCAGATACAGTAAACTTCAGGCCTTTGGGTTGGCAGCGCAATTCTTTGTACCTCAGCCACTAGCGCACCATACCATGTACAATAAATAAAATGGTTTAACAGCTACAGGAAAAATGATAAACAATAGAAAATATAAAGAAAAAGAAATAGAATGGCTACATAGGCTTTTATTAGGACAAACCTGTCCATAACCATAAAGAATTCCTTTAAAACAAATAGAAGTGGTGAGCTCTGGTGGCCTAGTGGCAAGAAGTTGCAACTGCATGCTCAGCGGTGCACAGTTCAAATCCACCAGATTCTCTGCTGGAGAAGGAGGAACAATCTCCTCCTGTACCAGTCAGATCTGATTTGACGGTAGACACAAAAAATAATGAAATAAAAAAAAAAAGAAAGACTCAGTCTTTAAATTCGTTTTGGTTTAAAGATGAACTCTTTAAAAAAAAAACAAATAGACGTGCAATGCATCTCTGCTAGGGATTCAAAATGAAGCAAAAGTTAGTAATATCAGTTACAAATTAAGATACTTAATCATATAAATCAACAAGCTTTGAATTTGATTTTTATTATTAAAATATTATTAATTTTTCTTATTATTAATTTTATTACTTTTGCTAAATTAGTGACTAATAATTAATCCAGACAATACAAATGATACTATTCCAACATAAAGAAAAAAATTTTATCTAATAGTCTTAGGAATCTCATTCTATAACATAAAATGAGCTTCGATGGACAACAATTTTTTACAATTCTCAAAGATCTCTTGAACAGGTAGATCGATACTACATACAAATAATTGTCATATACTGTCACAGGGATGAAACTATAACATTGTTTCTTTTAAGAATTTGTGGTCCAAATAGGTTGTGAAAATACAAATGAAGTGACATTTTTTTTAAATGAAGTGACATTTGAAAAAGGAAAAAAAAATCAAGATTATAAAGCAATGGCAGCTATTTCCAATGTGTAACAGATACGGAAATGCCATAAGGAGATGGACAGACCTAATCCCTGAAATCTTAATGACAAAGGAAGGACAGAGGTAGCTTTCAATAAGGCAAGAGACACAGCTAATTAACTTACCACCTCCTTCCAAAAATGTGAGACTATCTTGGGAGAGTTGAAGTATATATATATATATATCTGTTATAGCAGTTAATGAAATGTCTCATTTCAACAGGAGCTATTTCAATGGTGAAAAAGGTAAAGGAGTCATAAGCATATTCTCCTGCGATACCAGGTAGCTGGCACTTTCCCGAACTGGAAAAAAAAATTGTAAGACACATAAAGTTAATGGCTTAATCAAATACGGTCTAAAAATAATTCACGCTAAGTCAAATCACTTACCAGCTGCCACAACTCTGGGGTCCTCATGAGACTGATGTCTCCCAGCTGCACGACTATCCAGACTCTCATTCCACCAAAGAACATGCACTGCAGAAATAAGCCGGAAATAGATTCTAAAGAGTACGGCATGCCTACAAATAGGAACTGCAGCAAAAACGAGCCTAAGGCAGTAAGCCTGGGGCTTGAAATCAAAGCAGCCAGGAGCAGAAAGGTAAAACGAAATGTGTCAGTGTCAAGATTTCTGAGCCAGCTGAGAATTGGGAGGTAAATTTGTAAATTAATGAAACTGATTTTGATGACTAGGGAGAAGGTTGGATAATCACACAGAGGAAGTAAAATAATGGAGCTAAAGACAGAATCAAGGCTGAACTCAAGTTGTGTAACTTTGTACTTTATTTTTTTAAATGAGAGATTATAAAGAAAATCGTATTCATTCTCAAAAACTTAGATAGTAGACAGGAAAAATGAAAATAAGTATAATCTTCATCCTCAGAGAAGAGATTTTATATTTTTATAAAATATGTAAAACAGAATTAGGACTATATATAATACATATACATAACCTATATAATATATATTATATATAACACTATATACTAAGCTTAGTAACAGATACAAATATTTTCTCTGCCAGTAATAATAATTTTTAATGGCAGAGTGAATTATTATTCCTTACAGATATCGACGGCATTAAACAACAACAACAAACAACAGGTATCTATAATTATATGGATATTTTATATCTTTTGAAATTCCTTCCTGTATGAATAAACACATCTGCACACACACAGAGCAATGCATATTTACTAGCAGTAAAGCTACTGACAAAGACTATGGAAATGACTAAGGCTTTGTATTATATTATTGTCACATTTTTCTGGGGAAATGTTAAGTCAATATGAACCGTATTGAGTATAAGAGTAGTTATTTTTTTGTGATCTTTTTAGTACTATTTTACATCTACCTCTATATCCATATCTATAGGTACATCTGTATGTCTTTGTTAGATTAAAAACAGTATCTCTATCACCTTAAAGATGTATTTGGTAGATATCTGTATGTTTATCTTTCTGTATGTTTTATTTTTTTTTGCTTTTGAATTTCACAGATATATACATATAATTGTACATGTGTATATGTGTGTATGTATATATACATACCTACATCTACAAACACTCTCTCTCTCTTTCTCTCTCTCTCTCTCTCTATATATATATATATATGCAATCTCCAGGGCTGGTCTTGGAATGGGAGACTTAGAAGAGGCTTGTTGCTGCTGCTGTGTACTGTAGAGTTGGAAACGAGCCATAGATGACCCTCCAGCAGGTTTTCAGAGGCAGTAATTGCATGGGAGCTGACTGCCTATCCACAGGAATCTGATGCATAAGGTTGGGTTACTGGCGAGATGTGGACAGGCATACGCAGTCACAGCAGTACAAGTGGCTGCCACCTTTGAGTACGAAGCCATCACCCACTTTGAATTAACTGTGCCAAACTTGGCTTGCAAACAATTCTTCATTACAACTACTCTCACTTGGAGCTCTTAAATCATTGTAAAGGCTTTTAGCTGTTTCTGGCCTTGAAGTAAGCTAAATAAGAAACATATGCATCCGGTCTAACTGGTCTATACATTTTTAATGATAACAAATAGGAATAGATTGATTTGTAACTCAGGGCTACTTGTATGTACATGCCTGTGTTTATATATGACGTTCATAGGAATGAAAAGACCAAGATGTTAACAGCATTATCTCTATGTTCTATGGCAGGAAATGATTTTTTTCTTTAGAGGTGTTCATGGTTTTTTGTTTTCTTTCAACGAGGGAGATCTGGTGGCCTCATGGTAAGAAACTGCACTGCAATCCCAAAGGTATGCTGTTTGAAACCACCAACCAGCTGCTCCACGGGAAAAGGATTGTCAGTCTCCTCCCATGCGATTAATAGCCTCTGAAAACTACTGGAAGGTCAGCTATGGGTTGGTTCTGACCTGATGGTACTCAACAACAACAAACCATGTACATTTACATGATGTAAAAGTTGTATGTGGTGGGTTAGTGGTAAAAAAATGCGCTACCAATGCAGAGGTATGTGGTTTGAATCCACCAGCTGCTCCAGGAGGCTGGACAATCTCCTCCAGTGCAGTTGATTGCCTCTGAAAACTCGCTGGAAGGTTAGCTATGAGTTGGGTCTGACTCTATGGCAAAACCCAAATATATATGAATGGAGAGAGAGAGGTATATATATCTCCATCTCTATCTATGAACTCTGAGAAATGACAATAGTTATAGAAAGGCTTCAGGTATTTTGTTTATAAGTTCACTATGAGTTGTGCTCGACTTGACAGCAATCAATAACAACATATCTCTATATCCATATATATATATTCATTCAGAGTGAAAAGGTGGAAGCTTAACATATATAAAAGGCTTCATAAAGTATAAATAAGTTAGATGTGAAAAAATACATTTTGAATCACTAAGATCATGATAAAATTTGGCAATTATATATCACATGCCACTATGAGAAAGAAACCGATGCAAACAGTTTATCAGGAGTTGATCAATATAGTTTGCAAATGTCACATTAGAAGGTGACAACTGTACCTCTGTTCAGCAGTCCATATTCTGTGTGGAAAACTCCAATTAGTTTGTTGTAGTTTAGATTGACATGGGAATTGATTGCCCTTTGAAACGCCTCACCCCACAAAGCTGGGCCACCGGGCTTCATCTGAAAAGTGACCAGTTCATAGACTCCTAAAGTAGGGAGAGAAAAATTTAACAGAAAGCACGGGAGCAACTTCTAGTTATGGTTGCAGTAGAATACTAATTGGCACAAGTACATATGAAGGGTTATGCACTTGCATTCTGGAAAAAAACCAAACCACAAACAAACAAAGAACCAACCAACCAAACCCCAAACGAGACAAAAACTTACTTGCACGATGTGTCACTGTGTCAGAGTAGAATGGTGCTGCGTAGTGTTTGTAATGGCTAGTTTCTAAAAAGCTAACTGCCGGGCCTTTCTTCCACAGCACCTCTGGAACAACTGGAACCTTGGACTTTCAGTTGCTGTTTTACCACCTTTAGACTCTGTTGCTATTTACTGCTGAGTCGATTTTGTTGTGTTGGTGGCGCCATATATGCAGAGCAGAACTGCTCCATAGGCTTCTGATGGCTGTGACCAACCTTTCAGAAGCAGATCTCTGTCTTTCTGAGGTGCCCTTGGGTGCCCCCAACCTCTCAGGTAATAGTTGCTCCATTAACTAAGCCTCTCAGGGATTCCTTATGTTTATCATATCCTCTGTTTCTGGGTGTGCTACTGAGTCTACTTCCATTCATCGTGACACAGCACTACAGAGCAGAACGGTCTCTGGGATTCTGTGTGGGGAGGATGCTGTGATTCTTTGCATTTTTCTCCCTAGTGTTATAATAACAGCTTCTCATTCCTAGGCTGCCCTCTCACGGGAAGAGATTACCAAGTTTTTCTCCCACAGAGTAGCAGGAGCCACTAGAACTTATGTTTATGTAGCCACATCTATTAATTTTTTGCATTGTTTTTCTTTTCTGGTATGTTTTTAAAGTTCATGCCCACTTTAGAGTTGTTAAGCTAAATTATAAAGAAGGAAAGGCCCTTGAAGCTGTGTGTAAGCTATTAATGCAAGTATTTTCAACTGTTAAATATTCTCATAAATACTTAATATCTTCTAGATTTCTCTTCTTTTATACAATTTTGAAAGGCTGTATTTCCTTTTTTCCCCTTTGGAAAACTTTCCCTTAAAGGTTTCCATTTCCACCAAAAATAGCAAGAAAACAGTAGACCTGAAACAACATTGCTGAGAACGGAAATATGTTGTGGGTTGTGGTTGTTGTTGTCTATCATCGAGTTGGAACCGACCCATAGCTTTGGCGGGTTTTCTGAGGTAGTTAATTGCACAGGGCACAGGAGGAGATTGCCCATCCTTCTCCTGCGGGGCAGCTGGTAGATTCTAACTGTGTATCTTCGGGATTGCAGCGCAACTTCTTGCCACGAGGCCAGCCACCAGAGCTTCCTATGTTGTATGGGTACGGATGTGAAAATAAGCAAAACAAACCACCAACACCTAGGAGAACAGTGGCGTTGAGAAATAAGAGGAAAAATGTAAAAGAAACCAATGGTCATTAACTACACAGAAAAAGAGAGCCATAATTTGACATATCGCGAAGTCAGCTCTTTGTTTAGGGAATGCTGAAAGCTGACAGGAGATGTAACTGTTGCATCCAAAGACTTGGCAAGTCTCTTGTACAATAAACTACAAAACTGGGAATAATGGAAGAGATAAAATTTAAAGTAGTTTACTTTTTTTTTCTAACCTGACCTTTGTTTAAAGCTGAATTGAGATTATTATTTCTTTAAATCAGCCCTCTTGTTGATTCCTCTTGGAATCAACAAGAAGAGCAATTTTTATTAACGATTTTCAAATTGAAAAAGAGAAAGACACAAAAATTAGGCCAGGAGCTGACTGTGGAACAGATCACCAACTACTCATATGCAAGTTCAAGCTGAAGCTGAGGAAAATTAAACCGAATCCACAGGAACCAAAATATGACTTTGAGTCTATCCCACCTGAATTTCAGAATTATCTCAGGAACAGGTTTGTGGCCTTGAACACTAAAGAGCAAAGACCAGATGAGCTGTGGGGGGATATCAAGGGTATCATCCAAGAAGAGTGCAAATGTTCATTACAAAGACAGAAGAGGAAGAAAAAACCAAAATGGATGTCAGAAGAGACTCTGAATACTGCACTGGACTGCAGAGAAACCAAAGCAGAAGGAAGAATTCAAGACACTAAAGAGCTGAATAGAAGATTTTAAAAGGCAGCGTGGGATGACAAAGTAAAATATTACAATGAAATGTGCAAGGAATTTGAGTCAGAAAATCAAAAGGGCCGAATTCGCTCAGCATTTCTTAAGATCAAGAAACTGAAGAACAAATTCAAACCTCGAGTTGCTATAATCAAGGATGCTTTAGGCAGAATAGTAAATAATCCAGGAAGTATTAAAAGAAGATGGAAAGAGTCACTGTATCAAAAGCAATTGGCAGACACAGAAGAATTTCATGAAACAACATATGAGCAAGAGCCTATGGTGCTGAGGGAAGAAGTTCAGGCTGCTTTGAAGGAAATAGCCAAAAACACGGCCTCAGGAATAGATGGTATACCAATTGACATATTTCAGCTAACAGATGCTGCCATGGATGTGCTCACCAAGTTGTGCCAAGAAATCTGGAGAACAACCACTTGACCAACTGACAGGAAGAGATCTATATTTGTTCCAACCCAAAGAAGAGTGTGGAAACTATAGAAAAATATCATTGATTTCACAAGCAAGCAAGATTCTACTGAAGATTATCCAAAAACGACTGGAACAGCACATCAGCAGAGAACTTCCAGAAGTCCAGGCTGGGTTTAGAAGGGGTCTTGGTACTAGGGATATTGTAGCTGATGTTAGATGTATCTTAGCTGAAAGCAGAGAATACCAGAGGAATGTCTGTGTTTCATTGACTATGCAAAGGCATTTGACTGTGTGGATCATAACAAACTGTGGCTGACTCTGAGAAGAATGGGAATCCCAGAACACTTGATCGTGCTAATGGGAAACCTATACTTGGACCATTGGACCAAGAGGCAGTCATCAGAACAGAGCAAGGGAACACTGCATGGTTCAAAATTGGGAAGGGCGTGCACCAGGGATGTGTCCTGTCTCCATAGCATTTCAACCTGTATGCAGAGCTGATTATCCAGGAGGCTGGGCTCTATGAGCAGAAATGTGGGTTCAGGATTGGTGGAAGATCTATCAATAATCTGCGTTATGCAGATGACACAACCCTGCTGAGGAGGACCTGAAGCGCTTGCTGCAGAGGGTCAAGAACTGCAGCTTTCAATATGGATTGAGGCTCAATGGCAAGAAGACAAAGATTCTCACCACTGGACCAACTGGTAGCATCGGGATGGATGGTGAGGAGACTGAGATTGTTAACAGCTTTAGTTTGCTTGGCTCCACAGTCAACACTCTTGGCACCAGTAATTAAACAAAGGAATTAACACAGGAAATTAAAAGACGTATTGCGATGGGAAAGTCTGCTGTTAGGGACCTCTCCAAAATTCTGAAGAGCAATGCTGTCTCTCCTGAGACTAAGGTATGTCTGATACAGGCCATGCTCTTTGCAATCACTTGTTATGCATCAGAGAGTTGGAAAGTGACTAAGGAGGATAGAAGGAGAATTGATGTCTTTGAGCTGTGGTGCTAGAGAAGAGTATTGAGGGTTCCATGGACTGCTAGGAAAACAAACAGATTCATTCTGGAAAGGCCTAAACCAGGTGGCTCCTTGGAGGCAAGGATTCTGAGGCTTCATCTAACATACTTTGGACATGTTATAAGGAAGGACCGGTCCTTGGGGAGGGACATCATGCTTGGGAAGGTGGAGGGACAGCGCAGGAGAGGAAGACCCTGTATGAGGTGGATTGATTCAGTGACTGGGTTAATTGGGTTGGGTGTGTTGGAGACAGTGCGATTGGCACAGGACAGAGCAGAGTTTGGGGCAGTTGTACATAGGGTTGCTATGAGTCGCAAGCGACTCGACAGCACATAACAACAACAATAACAATAAAGGATAGCACATTTCAGTTAATTTCTCAGTCTTATAAACAAAGATATACTTAATTTAAAAGTAGTTGTAATATTTAGTAAAAATAATTTTCTATTTCAAAGTCGGTATTATAAAATTATTTAAAAAGTTCATAGACAATTTTAAATCTATCTACATGTTTTCTCTGCTTCTAAATTCCCAACTTCTCAACTTTTACTCGTCTTGTCAAATTTATATGTGACATAGTGAAGCTTTAAGAATCAGTAAGAATTGGAACAATCTGTTCTGGAAAACAATGCATTTTAATTTTGTAAATAAATAATTATAATTTAAGAAAAAAAGAATCAGTAAGATCCTGATTTGAAAAACACTTCATTAGTTAATAATCTGAGAGAAGGTCTGGTGGTACAGTGGTTAAAGAATCCAACTGCTAATTGAAAATTTGGCAGTGTGAGTCCACCTGCTTTGTAGGAGAGATATGGCACTTTGCATCCATAATGATTTATGACCTTGGAAACCCTATGGGACAGGTCTTGCAGGGTCTTTATGAGTTGGCATCAACTTGATGGCCATGGCAGGGTCTGTGCTGTTTTTTTAAAGTCAATTTTTCCCCCTCAACTATTAAGAAGTTAGATGGTGTTGAGCCATTTCTGACTCATAGTGACCACAGAACGCAGAGCAGACCTTTGTGCTTCCAAGTCTGTGGCCATTCATTCAGAAACAGATAATCAGGCCTATTTGTCAGGGTACCTCTGCTTGGGTTTGATCTGCCAACATTTTGGCTAGAAGGCAAGTGATTAACCACGTGCACTACCCAGAGACTCATACTATATACAACTAAGGATTATCCTTTTCCCCCTCGATGGACCTTTAATTCCCACAGCTTAAATCTTCATCTATTTCTCAGTATTTTAGTGACAAAAGAGGGAAGACCTACCTTCCTTTGGAGGCTTTTCTATTTTGCACCAGGGTACCAGGTAAGCAATCTCAAACTCTTGTTCATCTACGTGAAACAAATTTGGAATGAGGAATTTTTCTTGCCATTCTTTATCTTCGGCCAAGGCTTTTCGAACTTTAGTTCGATGAGCAAAATTATCTACGGGAATAAAAAATGGAAAATACACATTTCAATTTAAAAATTTCCTATCTGTCTTTGGAGATTTTATTCAATTCAGTAAATGTACCTCAAAGGGCATAGAAAAATATTGTTATTTAGGAAAGCTAGAACTTGGATAAGGCATAAAGCCTTTCACTAAAAAGAGGGGCAGCCATCCTATCAAAGGAAGAGAACTTGTGAGAGCCACAGACAAGGTGGTCTTGTCCAGTTCTGGCTCTCATAGATTCCACTGTATTAGTGAAGACATCAAGATTTGGAGGTATGATACCTACAACCAGGATGTGGAAGGGCTACTGGGGGGGAAGAGGGGGAGAAATGCAAACAACTAATAATAAAGCCACGCAATGAGTTTCTAAGCTCATTTACTAGGCTCTGGTAGCATAGCCTGCAGGGAGGTGTGCTAATAATGTAAAGGGGGTTCCTCTCTCCTGGTTTGAATCCACCAGCCACAGCTTCAAAAAAAGAAAGAGGTTTTTCTTTTTGTGATATTAATACACTTGGGTTCTGTTTTGATTTGGCATAGGAGACTCCACATTTCCCCCTTATGATGGCACAGGATTTTACTAGGGAGTTGTTAGAAATGTATTATTGGAAAGAGTAATCCCTGAATTCACCTTCTTGGTTTTGAATTAAAAAAGTTTACTGAGACTGAACTGATAACTGTAGAGATTTAAGTCTTGGGTTATGTCTAATGAAATGAAGTTGGGTGACTCATACCATACTTCCAAATATGAAACACTTTGTTCACTTTGCCTCCAAATTCTACTTTCCAGAATCCAATCAGTTCAGAGTGAGCTGTCCGAATATGAATATTTTTATTAATATTTTCCAGGAACTCATTCATCTTTGAGGGTTTAATGTAGTAACTACGAATTTCATATAATGTGCCATCAAACTGTCTGGGGCCAGTAGCAAAAGATGAACACATCTGGAGAAAAAGAAGACAAATTTAAACATTTTGGGGACAGTAAAAAAAAAAAAAGCAAGCAAAACCACACAGCTGTCATCATAAGTCCATGTGTATGAGAGTAGGTCAGCTCCTTAGGGTTCACCTATGTTATTGACACAGATTTTTCATGGTACCGCTGGAGGCCACTTGTGCCACCTGGGGAGGTGTGATTTATTGTTTTATGTTACAACAAAGTCTGAATCTAAAAGCAAGGGACAGTCATTGGAATCATAATCTATGTGGTACTTCTGCTGTCATCTCTTCAAATCTTTATTAATGGAGATATACCAATAAAAAGAGCTTTCTTAAATATGTTGAATACATGGCCGCTCACCTAACATTGATCTGTCGTAAGTAATTTTTCATGAATTGCTGTTCATAATGCAATGGGATCTTAATAATATTCTCTCACCCAATGACTACAATGAAAAGGATCTTAATAAATTCATAAATAGCCTTCCCTGATTTGGTTAATTTTTATTTTTAAATCAATATTCTATGTGTTATTTATTAATTTAAGCAAAATTTGTATTTTTAAAGCATGCAGTTCAATCAGAAGGTACATGGAAATACATTTTCCAGCAGAAAAAAAATGATTTTTTGTTTAAAAGAAAACAGCTGTTCAGGTCCAAATATTTCCTAACTCTACAGAGGGAGACATGAAGTTGGTTGGAATATAACTAATACAGGAGAAAGTTTTGTTGTTAGGTGTCATCAAGTTAACTCCAACACTTAGCACCTTAAGAACAATAGATAGAAAAAAAACCAAACCAACAGATCGAAACTTTGCCCTATAATGAGTCATCTCCACAGTCTCTGCCATCCATACTTACTGTCCACTGCTGCAGTTCCTCTGTCAGTCCATCTCATTGAGGGTCTTTCTTCTCTTCCTCTGACCCTCTACTTTTCCTAGAATGGTATCTTTTTCTATAGACTAGCCCCTTCTGACACCAAGCCCCAAGTATGTAAGATGAAGCTGCATGACCCTTGCCTCCGAGGAGTATTTGGCTGCACTTCTCCCAAGATCGATCTGTTTGTTCTTTTGGCATTCCATGGGCTAGTCAGTTTTCTTTTCAAACACAATTCAAAGACATCAATTTGTCTTTTGTCTTTCGTACTCATTTTCCAACTTTTAGATGCATATGGAGCAAATGAAAATACCAAGGCTGGTGTTAGGTCTATCTTTGCCTACAAATTCTTATCCTTACTCTTTAGCACCCTAAAGAGGTTCTTGAACAACAGATTTTTCCAGTGCAACACATTTGATTTCTGGACTGCTGTGTGTGTTGGTTATGATTAAGATTTTGTTATAATATTACTCGACTCGATGGCTCCTAACAACAATGGCATAATATGAAGACTGTTGTACTGCTAACCAAAAGGCCTGTCTGTGCTATTGCAGATTTCTTAGTATAGCTGTTCTAGCCATTGGCTCTGACTTTCACCCCATGGCTTGGCTAATAATATGAACTGGGGGAAACGGTATCTTTCTGGTGAATATGCAAATAAGGTATGTATACTATTAATCTGTAGATCGGTCTGTTTTGCTATCTTGCCATGCTCAAACTGAGCAAGCTCAGAGTCTGAAAAGCTAATCTAACCAGCATCCATTTGAAACAGAGAATGTAGTACATGTTTTGGGACCAGCGATTCCTGCACGAGATGGTCTGATGAGACCAGCAGCAGTTACAGCAGAAGTGGCAGAGAATCAAATACTAACATGGGCATGAGCTACAGCTGAACTAGGATTGCCTTCCCTAGGAGCCAGAGCCAAGGGCCTTTGCCCAGGCTTACTGGAGGGCTGGAGTGAGATGCCATAATTGACCGGACTTTGTAACCTAGCCCGATGCCCTGAGACTGAAGGTCAGAGGACCTGCTTGAATCCATGAGAGGTTGCTCTGATTGAAGAACTGTATCTTGTTTTCAACCTCAATTGCAATTCATGACTCCTCCTAATAAGCCCTGTACTCAAGTGTATATGTGAATTCTACGTGGTCATTGCAGCAAATTAGGAGATGTAGCAGCAGAGCAGTAAGAGTCAAGGGAGACAGAGATGGTGGATGTTAGAATTGCTAGATGCAGATTCAGTAACATGGGATCATGTCTGACCTCATGAGAACTGGTTCTGTGCTGTTGATGTTGCTGTTAAGATTTGTAACCTCTGAGACCCCAATAAGATCATGATGATTCAGAACAGACTCAATGGAATAAGTTTTGAGTTTGAGATACATATGAAAGTTGACAGTAAGGAAGAACAAAGAATAATTGATGTCCCCATGTTATGATGTCAGGAAAGACTCTTAAACATACCATACATTGCTAGAACTAACAAATTTGCCTTGGAAATACAGCCAGGATGCTTAGAAGTGAGGGTTGTGAGGATTTGTCTCACTTTGAACATGCTATAAAAAGAAATTAGTTCTTGGATAAGGATTTCATACTTTGCTTTTTTTTGGAGGGCTGGTGGAAAAACAGAACAGTCCTCAACAAGGGGAATCAACACAGGAGCTGCAACAGTGAGCTCAACATAGCAACTGGGAGGATGGTGAATTGTGATGATGAGCAATCAGAAACCTACTCCAGTGTACCAGCAAACATTTTTACAAAATAGATCACCACATGGCTGTCCCTCAAGGCTGCCTTTGACAAAGTTCCAACCACAGACCTTTCCTCAAGGCTGCCTTTGACAAAGTTCCAACAACAGACCTTTAATTTAGCAAGCCGGCAAGAAACACTGCTCTAACAGGCTCTCTTATCTCCAAGTCACCACTCAGTCTTAACAGCAATAATACCTTCTAACTCGCTTATATGAGAATAAATGGGTGTTATTTAATAGTCAAAGCTGAAAAGAAAATGAGAAATAATCCTTCGTGTTGCCTTGAGGACTGTTTCCAGGAATGTTTACCATAGCCTGTGTATATCTAGAATAGTTTACCCTCCTTGCCCTGCCCCCATAAAGAATACAGCAACAAGAATGAATGAACATTAAAAATCCTCACGGTTAGATTCACCTAGAAGTGGCCAAGGCAAAAATTACAAAGTCCTCTTTAGCACATTTCTTATATAAGGTTAAATAGCTTTGTTTACAATTATCTCTTTGCTAAGAAAGAGGTTACTGCCCCTACCGGGGGCAGTTAAGGACAGCGCCACACAACTTCCAGGTTGGGTCCTTCCTGACTGAACCCTGGCCATCATCTTCAAGGTTCTCTGCAACACCCTCAGGCTGCTTGCATTTTGTTGGAGAGAAGTGGTTCTGTAACAAATGAATGATAACCTTTTTCCCTCTTTCAACCTTTAGTAAGGAGGCTATTGTTGTTAGGTACTTTCAAGTCGGAACAGACTCATTGCTGACCCCTCCAGCGGGTTTTCAGAGGCAATAAATCAAATAGGGAGACTGCCCATCTCTCTCCTTCTAGCAGCTGGTGGATTTGAAGTAGCATCCTTTGTAGGGTTGACAGTGCAACTTCTTTTCACGAAGTCACCAGAGCTCCCCTAAGGAGGTGGAGTTGTAGTATTTGCCCTCCAGCTGGAACTAACTCATCCAACAGGTTTTCAGAGGCAATTAATGGCATGAAAGGAAACTGACCACACAGTCTCCCAAGGAGCTGTTGGTGGGTTCGAACCATCTGCCTCTGAGACTGCAATACAGCTTCTGGTGACCACGAGGCCACCAAAACTCATTAAAGAGATGGAGGTGACTTGTAAATAGGAAACCAAAGAAGAATCTCCCAGAGTACCGGGCACTAGGAACCTTAGCTGTTACTGGTCTGCGCAGCAAATGTGCAACAACCAACCATATACCTCAGAAATGTCCCCTGGGGCATCTGGCACCTATGTCAGAAAGGCTCACTGTCCACGGAAGGGGGAAATATAGGGACAGTCTCTCCAGGCATTGGGGTGGACTGGGGGCGGGAGACGGGGAAGAGAGAAGAGCGGGAACCTTCCACGGAGGGCCTTGCACGCGCGTCAGGAGCGCGCATACCCAGGCTTTGCACACGCGCACACAGACCTGTTCCCTTTCCCAACAGGGCATGGCCCGCACCCCCTGGCCGGGCTACCTGAGGCGCGAGCGACCTTGCGGCCAAAGCCTTCGTCAGGCCGCTTCTGAGGCCGAGCATGGCGAAGCTTTGCGCACTGCAGAGAAAGCTGGCCATCCCTTCTCTTCCAGAGTCTGCTCCTGACTGCAGAAGGGCTGTGTCCGCACCAACTGTGGACGGAAACTGCGGGGCAGAGCCCTGGCGAGCCAGCTCCGCCCCGGCCCGGGAGGCGGGCACTCAGGCCTTTCTGTTCTCTGCAGGCCAGAGGCTGGAAATGTTTGTTTTTGTTTCCTAAATTGTGTCGCTTCCTGTGTTAGCCCAATGTAGAGACTGCTTTGGGCCTGGTCCACAGCTGTGAGGCCACCACCTCCTATATATGTTTCAATTGCAGCGCTGTAAAAGATATACTTATTTGTGGGTCAATGTGTGTAGGTAGAAGTGTAAATATCCGGAGCTGTCACTTGGGATTGTACTGGTTGTACCTTGTGCAAGTTCTTGTCCACCTAAAATGTACAATCTAATACAGCTGAAGAGAAAGAGAAAAACTCTGAATGTCGTTAGAATCAGTTCTGACTGAAACTGACTCCACGTGTGTCAGAGAAGTGTGCTCCAGAGAACCCCTTACTAATTGACTTTTAAAAAGTAGAGCAGAAAAAAAATTAGAAGTATATCAGCAGGTCTTTTTTCCTGAGGAGACTCTCATTGAATTGGCATCTTTTCGTTGGCAAGTGAATGTGTTAACAATACCACTAGAGGATCAGGAAATAAGTTCAGGTTCATAAATGCGGTGAAGGAAATGAATGCAGAACATGGACAAAAGAAAGAACTGGAGAGAAGTGACAGTGATTAGAAGCGATTTCTCCGTATTTATTCTCACCTCCCACTCTGTTCTTCAAAATAGCATCCTTGCAGCTTCATACAGTTTTGTGACTAAGTCCTGGCTGTAGATACACAAGTTACAAGCCTTGATCTTAAAGTAGGGGAGCAGTTGGTTTATTTTTGTTTACTTATTTCTCCTGGCTGGAATGTGGATATAAGAGATAATAATGTGGCAGTCACATTGTTTTGTGGTGAAGCCACAGGGAAATCTAGGTGTCTGACACCATGAAACACTGTTCCTCAACATTCCTTAAGCCCTGGAGTCCTCTTCACTGAACTCCTTATAGATGAGAAAGCATCTTCTTAGTTGGCTCAGCCCTATAATCTGAAGCGTGTGAGAATTTTTATGTATTAATTTTCTATTTTTTTTTGTTTCCTTGTTTTTACTCGTTTGTTTATAGCTTTCTCTTGCTGTTAGGTGCCCTTGTGTAGATTCTCACTCGTTGTAACATCATGATCAGTCTCACCACCTGCCTACGTATTGTAACTCACCACATTCTTTGCCAATAGCACAGAGTACATTTCCTCGAAATACAATCAAAGCATTTAGGCAATTTTAGAGTTTTTCTTCTTGAAATTCTTTGTTTTCTTTATTCTAGACAAGTGTGGATGAGTTGTTAATCTAAGACTGCATAGTAATTCTGGGAGATATACTGGGTGGTTTAATGTACCTTGTGGGTTAAGGTGTTTAACAAACGCAAATGATTACTACAAAAATAAATTCTATTGAACTTTCAGTCATCAAAAAGACCATTAGTGGTGCAACTGTTCAACTTCTAACCAAAAGGTCAATGACTCAAGCTTACAAGCATCTCTGCAGAAGAAAACTTAAAAATCTCTGTCCCTGAGTTTATTCTAACTCATAGCCACCCTTCACTGAGTTCCTGTGGCTCTAAATCACAATGACAGGAGACTGTTCATTTTTATTTTGCAGAACTGCTGGTGCCATTAAAATTGATGGAGATGTTCAACCCTTAGCTTAGCAGCAAAATCTTAACAATAAGCTCCTGTAAAGCTTATTATTGTTACATGGTGTGGAGTCAACTACAACTCGTAGGGACTCAATGAACAGCAGATCCTAGAGCAAGCAGAATCTTGCGCTTTCGTGCACCATTCTCATTACAGCCCAAGAACCCCTATTCTGGGGCAGGCCTACTCTGTCTTATAGTCAGGATTGTCTTGAGGGCACACAGAAGCAAAACAACAGAGTCATTAAAATGTAAGAGCAAATTCTTGACATAGAAATAAGTAGACATTCATTGTTAAGGCATTAAATGACAAGGTCTATTGGGGGTTACAATAGCTATAATTATTTTAGCAGTGATGAGTATGAAAGACATTTTAATATATTGGTAAGTATTATCATGGAATTTAATAATGCTTGTGATTTTAGTAGTAGCAAAAATCACACATCCTTCTAATAACAGTGTGATTTGTTTATGACATTGATAATGAAAGAGAATGTTTAATTCCAAATTGAAGTGCATGATTATAAAGACAAAGTTTTCCCTCTTCAAGTTTCAGAGTTCTCAAATTCTATATATATATGATGAAGGGCCAGCTATGAATTGGCTCTGTTTTGATGATATAAAACAACATCATCTTTACCAAGATAGTATACCCCAGACTCAGAGGATTCTGTAGAATGACAGCTATCATTACTGATGTGAAATGAATCCTAGCTGAAAGCAGAGAATGACAGAAAGATATTCATTCATGTGCTAGCGACTACAAGAAGTCTTTGATGTCATAGATCATAATGTTGTTGTTGTTTGATGCCGCTGAGTCGTAGACGGCTCATAGCGACCCTATGAACGAACAGCCTGAGCACTGTTTGTACATAGAGTTTCCGGAGGCAAGCCTTTTCGGAAGTGGATGCCGCTCCTGCTTCCAGGCTTGATTTAGTCGGGAAGCTCCAACCAACACTGTCCACCATGGGTGCCCATTACCACGATTGGCACATCACTGTCACAGGCTTCAGCATCACAGCAACCACGAGTTACCTCTGTACAGCAACGCACAGACCAGTGCTATACCACCTAGAAGAATGTTTGACAGGAAGACAATTTGAACCTGGCCGAGGGCCACAGATGAAAATCACCCACCTTTGCCTTGGTAGAACAGCTTCCTTTCCACTAGGCAAACGTAGCTCTCTCTTGGTCGTCGTCATTGTTATTGTTGTTTAATGTCGTCGAGTCGTAGACGATTCATAGCGACCCTATGAACAAACAGCCTGAGCACTGTTTGTACACAGAGTTTCCGGAGGCAAGCCATTTCGGAAGTGGATGCCGCTCCTGCTTCCAGTAGATCATAATAAAGTATAGATAACATTGAAAAGAATGTGAATCCCAGAATACTTAGTTGGGCTCATACAAAACCTGTACATAGCAAAAAGCAGTTATTAAAACAGAACAAGGGGATACTGCGTAGTTTAAAATCAGGAAAGTTGTACATCAGAGTTGTATCCTTTCTCCATATGTATGGAGAATCTGTATGTTGAGGAAATAATTGAAGAAAATGGATTAATGGAGATTAAAGTGGCATTAAGATTGGAGGAAGACTCATAAAAAATTTACATTATGTAAATACCACAACCTTGCCTGCAAAAAGTAAAGAATACTTGCGAAACATTTACTGTAGAAGATCCAATAGTACACCTTTCAATATGGATTACTTCTCAATATTAAGAAAACAAAAATCCTCACCATTAGACTCGTAGATAACATAGATACAGAAAAGATTGATGTCAAGGATTTTATTTTATTTAGATCTGCAGTCAACATCCATCATAACAGCAGTCAAAAAATGAAAAGACGTTTTGCATCGGGAATGTGCTATTAAGGACCTCTTCAAAGTGCTATAAAAAGCAGTGATGTCAGTTTAAAGACTAAGGTATAGCTAACCCATGCATTGGTATTTTCAGTTGCTTCCTGTGCATGCAAAGGTTGGATAATGAATATGACAAAAGATTCCATGCCTTTGAATTACGGTGTTAGCAAAAAGAATCAATTATACCATTGTTGTTGTTGTTGTATGTGCCATCGAGTCGCTTGCGACTCTTAGCAACCCCAAGTACAAGAGCCCTAAACACCTCTCTATCCTGTGCCAACTTCACCGTCTCAAAAACACTCATTCCCACCACTCCAATCACAGAATCTATCCATCTCATCGAGGGTCTTCCTCTCCTGTGCCATCCCTCCACTCTCCCAAACATGATGTCCCTCTCCAAGGACTAGTCCCTCCTCGCAACATGCCCAAAGTATGTCAGACGAAGTTTCGGAATCCTTGACTCCAAGGAGCATACTGGCTTCACCCTCTCCAGGCCAAATCTGTTTGTTTTCCTAGCAGTCCATAGTATATTCAACACTCTTCTCCAGCACCACAGCTCAAAGGCATCGATTTTCTTTCTATCATCCCTATTCACTGTCCAACACTACAATGCATGGCACATAATTGAGAAGACTATAGCCTGGATAGGTGCACCTTAGTCTCCAGCCTGACATCGTTGCTTTTCAGTACTCTTGAGAGGTCCCTTACAGCTGACTTTCCCAGTGCAATTCGTGTCTTGATTTCCTGGCTGCTGTTATCAAGAGTGTTGACTGTGGAGTCAAGCAAACTAAAACCATACCATATAAAAATATACCATAGATTGCCAAAAAACCAAACAAATCTGTCCTGGAAGAAGTGCAATGAGGGTGTTCTTTATTACCATCACTGTCCAATCAAGTGTGGTAACTGGCCACGTCACCATCTCTAGAGAACAAGTTGGGAAACTTTGTCTTACATATTTTGGGCTTATTGTCAGGAGGTGCCAGTCCTAAGAAAAGGATACTATGCTTTCTATATGGTCAAGGACAGGAGGTCAAGGACAGGAAGACCTTCAACAAAATGGACCAACAAAGTGACTGTAATAACAACGGCCTTGACCATGGTGGAGAGGGTGAGAACTGAGCAGGACAGGGTGAGGTTTTGCTCTGTTGTTTACAGGATTGATATGGGTCATAGTCGACCAAACAGCAACAACAAACAACATCTTTACTAAGTATAGTATTATGGATTTATTGTTAAAAATGTCTTTGCTAGTCATCAACTTTGACTTTCTCAGCATGGCTGGGTGGGAACATAAATAGGATGTTCATAAGTAACTCGTGGTCTGTGTTCCCATCTCACCAGGTTTAAAATGAATAGGTCGGCCAACAGAA